GGCGACATTGTCTAGCTGAGTGCGGCGATAACCTTGAGGAAGGGCTGGAGGGCACGGGGATGAGGTATACAATTTTAACGCGGCCAAATGGTGCAGCTCAACGTTGGACAATTACAGAATTATGTAATTGAGCGGACAATGTTTAAAAATAAAGGGATTTTGGTTGCATCTTCAAAGGGTTTGGGGGGATGAAAATATTGACTAAGATAATAACTTGTAACCAACGTGGCGACGATTAAATATACGGAGAGAGAGGGAGTTTTACCAGGAAATGACATAAATCTGTTTATTATTTTGATAAGAAATCTCTCTAAAGTGCACCCACAAAAATCCCGATAATGGTGCATAAAAGTATACAGTGAAAAATAGAAAATAGTAAACATTAAAGCACCTTTTAGATGGCTGGCTATTTCGATTGGGTTATTGATTTATTTAATTATTTAATAAACTGAATTTAATATTCATAAACTTTTTATTTAACTTTAAATTCCAGAATGTTTATTAAAAATTTATGAAACTACTTTAGTTGTTATTTATTTACCCCATGTGCATTTATGTCAGTGTTCTTTTATGAAGAACATATGTGTTTATGGTCATATTCTAAGTTCCCAAAGCCTTTATTTATAAGGAGTACAGATGCTTCCCAGAAGAATATTCTGAGAATATTGTTAAATTAAAGTCCGGACATTTCGCAGCGACGATTAAGCTGCTTTCATTGGCCAAGTTGTTGACAGCCAACTCGATATTTTGCGCCAACTCCGTTCAGGTGCAGCGGAAAGTGCGGCGTTTCAATATTCATCTGGCGAATATTTGCGTCGCGTAGTTGGCGAAATTTTACCGCTGCGCTTATTGGTCTTGTTGTTGTTGCTTTTGTTGGCTAACAAAACTTTTGGCCCACAAAACCGCACACTCGTACGTACACGCACACATACACACACACATTTAAGCCCACAAACACAGTGCCACATGCATAGACATCGCTTTTGCATTCATGGAGCATATGTTCCAACTCCCGATTTAGTTTTCGTTTTACGGTTTGAAGTTTCACATTAAAAGCATTTCAGGCAGATAAATAGAGCACGAGGGAGAGGGACAAAAACGGCATAGTTAGAAAGGGAGAGCGAGAGGGAAGATAACTCCCGACCCCCTTCGAAAGTCTGTGTCCCCTTGTCACTGATAAAGTTTTTGTTTTTGCCCTGCTGCCGGAATTATATTATAATTTCAACTATGAGTACTACTCATGCAAATAACTCAAATTAAAGTTTTTATGCCTATGGGGCACACACACATACACACAGGCAAGGACAGAGCGGAAACCGCCATCTTGTTTTTAGTTTTTGGATAAAAGTTGCGAGCACGCACAAGACTAGCAGACAAACATGGCCGAAAGGGTTACGGGAATACTTGGTTATAACTGGGTAAAGCACTGTGTAACAAAATATGGGATCAGAAAAAAAATTTGACTGATTTATGGCTCAGATGACTACAAAGTTTAACACAATTAATTTAAAGCCTGATATTTACACTATGCCATTTGACTTATCAACTCAGTAATTGTTATATCTCTTGTCAAAAACATTGTAAGCTTTATCAGTTACAAAATGTGGATTAAAACTCATTTTCTAATTCACAGCAAATTTTTTGTTTATCATCCCTGTTGTTTTGCACACGAATTAAACCGTGTAAACGGCGATTTAGCAAACATTTTGATAAGCAAACACATTTAATAACTGATTAAAAGTGCTAGTAAACAAGTCAATAGAATCAAATTGCGTAGCGATTTGGGTAATTTTACGGATTATTAAATTTGAAAACTGACACGCTTCAAAAGCTGTGCGTTTCCATTAGGACAACTAATTAGCAAAGTGTTGCAGTAATTATAAAGGCCTGTGTCGCATCCATTATCACTTCATATGCCAAACAATTACGACGGGGTTGATGCAATAAAAAGCCTGTAAAAGTGCATTTAAACTATTTCGAAAGTAGCCTCCAACCGTTCTCGGGGCGCCTTTGGTGAGCCTCGTCAGCACTTCTCTTTTTCTGACCAGCAGCATCAATAACGGGAAAGTTTTAGCCAGAAACCAAGGAACACCAGCGAACACCACAACAGCAACACACCAGGACCAGCTCAAAAATTATGGCCACACTTTCGTTTTTACCAATGGACGGCTGGCAAGGGGGTGGACAATGCCCCAATGAGATAAGAAAAGTGTGCACGAAAATTACACTGAGGAAAAAAATGTTAATATAAATAAACATTACCTTTTGCTAAATGATTTTTGTATAAATATTAAAACAAATATTTTTCTAAAATGTATAAATACTAAAGTAAACATTTTTAGGTAAGTTATTTTTAATTCAAATTAAAATTGTTGTTAAAAGTTATAAGGCCAAGGAACTAAAATGTTGTTTTGCTCTTTTGTATTTATTTTCTGAGGTTTTCCATATACGATGACAGTTTTGGAATAATTGTTTGGCCGTGAAAACGACTTTTTTTTAATGGCTTGATTTTTAATTTACTACAAATGGTTAGAAATATTATTTTCTTTTCGTTACCGTTTGCAACATTTGAAGTGTATTTAATTTTTGCCCGTGTGGTAGAGCTGCAGTATTCTTGAAATGCAGCCAAGCCGCAACTATGTGGCCGCCCATAAAGTTGAGCCGTCACCAGAGGAGGAAAGTCCCTCTTGCTGAGCTGCGAAAGTTTTTTAGGGCCAGCTTGTGTTTATAAGATGGCCAAGTAGCGGCGTTCGGCTATCAGTTGGCCAGAACTTTACTGCTTACGTTCATCATATTTGCGCGAGAGTTTTGCTGGGGAGCAGAACTTTTCGTGGAGCCCCGAAGACCAAAAGACCAGAGATACCAGATACTATATGCTCTACATAGCGAATGTAAAGGCGGGCGACCAACTGCAACAAACTGCAGCGATTGCTGTCAGCTGCAAGTGCTCCGGGGCGGCAGGCACTTGAGACTTCTTTTGAAAATTGTCCAACAAGAAAACCGAAACCCAACCTGCACCGCTCAAACCCTCAAACTCTGTGGGCCATCGGCCCAAAGGACATTGCAACAACTGACTGATAAATGTCGCTGCCAAGGCTGCAAATACGACTGAGGACATTTCCTTATTTCCTGCCGTTCCTGTCGTCGTCCGCTGTCCGCTGTCCTCTGTCCGCCGTCCGGCTGGCCGACTTTTGCTACAGGAAACTTTTAGACCAAAAGGAAACCCAGAGCAGCGGAAGGCATTCTGGGGAGAGCCCTTTTTTATGCAAGTCATAGAAATTTACAAGCCCCAGTGACAAGGACGTTTAGTTTATGGACGCGCAGTGCTCGCAGTGCTGACAGCTTGGCCACGTCTTTCAAAGGCTTAATTCCAGGTATTTTTAAGCTTTATAGCTTTTTAATAAGTATTAATGTTGACCATAAAAATTAGTTAGCCTTGGACCTTTAATGACAAATAAATCAATCAAAAAATTTAATTTTGGTGCCAACAGTGCTAAATCCTAATTTTCTGAAAAAAAAAATGAAGTATTTTGTTCGAAACAATATTTATAATGGTCTAAATGCGGCCATTTTTTTTGACCATTTTTGCAAAGCAACCCCTTCTAAAAAAAAAAAAATTAACATACATTTTATTTAGTGTAATCTACCCGGCAGTAATTTAGCACTACATTTGGGCAAACTACGACAAAAAATTACACTGAAATATCTTGTTTTTCCATTTGGTTCTTTCGATCGTTTTTTCCCTTTAAATCTTAAACCTAACATAGAGCACATATTTTAATTTGATTAAGTTTTTCATACCTTAAATGGTTTAAATTAAAGCTTTGCAAATGCATACTTAACAATTCACACTCAAGTAAAATGGTATACGTTTTATTTAAAATATTTTTGATTTAAACAGTCTCTCTATGTGATATTTTACCATAATTTCCTGCGTGTTTTCCTACAAAAAAAAAGCCTTCCGGCCTTGGCGATGCCATCACTGTTTGGGCGTGGGACATTTTGCTGTTGAAAACTTTGTTACATTGGCATATGCAATTGGGTTTGCTGCACATCCTGTCGACAGCTTGGACTTGCCAAAGTTTTTGCCACTGTTAAATGTTTTCTACGTTTTTATGTCTTCGCCAACGTTTTTTGGCCACAGTTTGGGGGGCTGGGGCCAAAAGGGGGGTTCAAAGTTTTTAATGAATTTTATAGCAGGCGGTGTTAGGCGATTGTGAGACGATTCAATCCGAAGGCGAGCCTTACGAAACACTGTTGTGGAGGTGAGGGTCCGGCGATAAGGGGGAGGCCAAAGGTGAGGACAGGCAGCGGGCCAATCAAGCTAATCGCGGACGAGCTGAGATAGTCAGCTAGACAGACATATATATACAATACATATAGTGCGACCGATAGACAGACAGACCGCTTTGACTTTGATGTGCTGTCGCTGGTGTTGGCCTGGGCATTAAATGCAGCACATTAAAGCCGCAGGAGCCATCGCCGCTGACGGCTGACAAGCGTTGAGTCAATTACATGGTAATAAACTAATGGGCAACGTGCCCGCCTGGCGACGACGTCACTCACCATCCTCATCATCACCACATCACCATCGCCACCACCGCCAACCATCAACAGCATCAGCCTGCCTCATCAGTTTGGGTCCTCACTCATGCCCGTTTAGCCTCAACACTTGTTGAACTTCCCATGGCCAGCACATAAAGCCAACTATAATTGGCCCAAAGTGAGGCTGATTCGAAAATGGCACTCGCTTAAATGCGAAAGTTGAAACCTGAGATGTTAATTGGCAGACGATTTGGCGGTGTTTTTATTTTGAACGAAAATTGGAAAAGAAGGGATTAACTTTTTAAATAAATAATGAGCTAAGCTTTGAAGCAAAAATAAAACATTTTTATTTAATTTATAGGTTTTATCCAATATTAATATTTTTTCCGAAACTTTTCATTTTAAGACTCACTTTTTTTAAAAGGAAGAACTCACTGAACTGCAATTTGATTAACTTATATTTTCTTGCACATTGAATATTTTATTTCAACATGGAAACTAGATATTCCTTTCGCTGAGATCCTTAACCGTGGACACACTTGCCCACGTTGAGTTGGTAGGTGGATCCGGGGGGACAGGATCCGTGGATGGGACGTTCGATGGTGCAGCGACTGTTCTCGGCATTATAACCAGCAGGACATCCGCTGCTGGCAAAGGCTCCCGCCAGCAAAGACAGGACCAAAAGCAAGAGCCAAGTGCATTTGAAAAGCATGTTTATAGATTGTATTGTATCCTTCGGGGCTCCTGCACTCAGAATGAAATCCTTTTAGCTTGGAAATGAATTAACTGGGCAGCCTCAACTCACCTCAGGCGAATGCAAAATGCAACTATTTCAAGGGATGCAACTTAAACGGATCTTATATACCAACAGATGCACAAGCTGATGACTCGACCTTGGTCTAGTTCTACTAATATGAACTGGTGGAAGGCAGCCCACAATGATAACACCTCGCTGATAAGCAGCTTAGCAAAACAGTTTGCTTTTTTTCTAATTGTTTTAAATATGTTCAATGGCTGATTAGGTTTTATTTTGGTTTATTTAGTTTTTGTAGACACACAGGTTGACATTGGCACTGTACTGGGATCCAGGGGGGCACTCTCCACGAATGGTGCGCTTGGCAGTGCACTTGTTACCCTCCTTCTTGAACGGAGCTGGGCAGTTCTTGGCCGAAACGGTCATGGCGATGAGGGCCAAGATGAAGATGGTGAGCCACGAGAAGTTCATGTTGTTTTGAGGCTGCAAAACAATATAGTTTTCTTTATTATTATTTTTTGAAGAGTATTTTCTTATCGAGAGGGTTTTTGCAATGAGATTTCATTGGATCGTGAGCAATATTTTTTCATGGAAATAGATAATGGAACCAGGGTTCAAAATGCTTTGCTTTATTTCTAGTTATATTATGAAGTGTGATTAACTTTGTTTTGATTTGATTTAATTCAATTGAAGCCTTACATATTTTTGTAAAATATTTCATTTAATCCTCGACCTACCTAAGGCAATAATTTTAATATATAATATACTTTAATTTAATATAAACTCTTTAACTTACACATTTATTGAATATTTATTTAAGTTTTTTATAGAAATGTTGAATATTTTTAAAATGTTCTTACTTATTTCAAAGTAAATACCAGAAGAACGTTGATAATATATTTAAAATTCTTATCTTGAAGTTTATTTTTTTTAAAAAAAAAAAATTTTTTAAAAAAATTTTTTAGAAAAAATTTTTTCCCTTTTTTTTTTTTTTAAAAATTTTTTTTTTTTTGGTTTTTTTTTTGAAGGGGGTATTAGGCCTTAACTAACAACTCAACAAAAAATTTTATCAAAAGATTCCATAATTGTTTTAGCCAACTCAGTTGAGTCAACGATTTCAATGTTTTACTTTAATCACACTTGAAATTCGAAATTATAAGTCCGCTCATTTTAATACACTTAAAAACTTGCAAAAATTACGTCTTGCCACTTGAATCACTTACTTTCTTGTCGTCACTTTGCAGATGATCAAACTAAATTTTTCGGCTGCCGGCTGCTGCTTTTATAGCCGCCGAAAAATACAGTTTGGGAGCCAATCTATCTATTGGGTGCCTCGGTCGCCTTTATCGCTACCATGACGAACCTTTGACACAATTAGTGGCGTTTAAGCTGTCGCCGATAAGGAGCCGCGAAGGCTTGACACATGTGGACCGCTGGTCGCTGGATGCTGGATGCCTATCTTCATCAGCCGAAAGGAAGCGGGCAACAATTCAGGGGAGAGCTTCACATCGCATTCGATCGAAACAAAGGGCATTTGCGTGGGGTCGACTGGGCCCTGAAGTAGGCGTGAAAAAGCTGCGACGGCGGGGTGGCAATGTCGAATGGCAACAGAGAAAAATTCCGCATGAAGCAACTGACATCAAATTGTCGAGGGAACAGGTGGGGCAGGTGTAGCGAACCCAGGCATTGTCCAGGTTCAACAATGGACCCGAGGATTCAGAATGGGGATGGGGATTGGGGATCGGGGCCGCCTGTCAGTTGCAGGAGCACAATGGCCAGGACGGCAGCTCTCCAGCGCTCTTTTGTGCGTTCAGCATATGTCATTCATATACAATTACGGTCGCAATTTTCGATAGTTGGTCGCAAGATGCGAAATGTGGGTGCAAAAAGTGCAGTGCAAGAAAAACGCTTTCAGAAATTCGATTTCTTTATGACAGCCAGGGACTGGGAAATTTTAAAGGCCCTGAATTTATTGGAAAAATTAGTTATAAACTTTAAAATTCTAAAAATGAAACATTTACTTACATTTAAAAATTCAAAAAATTTTGCTAATATATTTTAGTCCTTTTAGGACATAGAAAATGTAAATATAGTTTCTGCTCCTCAATTATGGTGACAAGAGAATGCATTTATTTTTATTGAATAAATTAAAATATTTATCAGTACCAAAATTATAGTGACAAATATTTTAAGAGCTTTAAAACTATTTTTTGCGCATATAGAGTAAAAGTAGAAACCGTCAGGCCCAAACCAGCTGATACCTGAATACAATCAGTACCTTGGATTTGTTTACTCTATCTCATATGTCGGAACAATAACAGTTGCTCACAGCCAAGCCGAGATTATCAGCTTGAAGCTTGAAACAATTAAATATAGAAGCACTGGTATTTCCCAATTCCAAAATAAATCAAATGCTAACGAGCCATAAAGTTTCAGTGTCAGGCGAGAGAGGCAAGAGTTCAATATTTCTGTGTTATAGTTTGCATGTGATGAACGACAAACTGTTTTCGATGGTTTCCACTTCAAGCGAAAAGAAAAAGAATCGAACGTGGAGCGTATATAGTGCGTCATAATTCACTCAGCACTTGGGTTTTGCTTCGATATATATGGTTGCGTGTCGAAGGCGACTTCTTCACTTGGCCAAGTTGTGGGCTCTTTTCGGGCTTAAGGTGGCTGGATTTGACCAGTTGGTCATGCCTTTGGCTTTGAATTATTGATGGGCGTATTAAGAAGATTAATGTGATGAGCTATGGGGCACGGAGAGTTTTGTCGTTGCCTGTTGTCGTTGCTCATGTTAATGTCTTCATTGTCGGCTTCAAGCTTCAAGCTACAAGCTTTACCTTTACCGTTAGTCACCCAACCCCCCTTGATTGTATATTGATGTGTGTGTTTGGTGTGTGTGGGCGAATCACTTCGATTCGAGCTTCAGCACAGCCAAAGAGCAATAACGTTCATCACTCGGAAACTTCCCGGGATATTTCCTCCTTTTTTTGGGGGCCCGGAGGTCGATTGGTCATTTTGTTAGACCTCTCAATTCGGTGAGCTGCTTTTTTGGTTGCATTGCGCGTCTATAAGCCATTTTTCTTCCTACCTCACATAAGTTTTAAGCTGTGTGTAATTTATTTTTATAGCCATGTTGCCGACGTAAAGATTGCAAATATGTAGTTGACCAAACCTCGGTTACGGCTGGTGCGTTAAAGGAATCACTATATAAGGGTGTCGAGATTTCACCCATTTAGGGGTACACAATGTGTACTAAAATGTTGGATTACAGGCTAAGAAGCTCTTCAGTTCGAATTGCGGTTCTAAAAAAAATCAGAAATTAAATTATTTTTTAAATCCTACATCCATTTAGTTGGAGGTACAAAAATTATGAAATAATATTCTATAAACCATAATATTTTTCAAGCTAATTTAATAGTCTTATTAACTGTAATCTGAATTACAAATTACAAATAGGTTTAGAGAGTGATATTTAAATATTAAAAATATGAAATTAAGCTTATCTGCTTTATGAAACAGTCTAAAATCGTGGCAATAATTAATGCAAACCGTTTTTGATGGCCCTGCTAAATTGCGCAGCATTTCTCATTACTGCAGCCACGAGCAGCTGAATTTGGTTTTTAGCCCTTAACCCGCTGCTTACGCCGGGCGGCTTTTTTCGCCCAGTTGCTCCGGTGTCCGGTGGAAATGGCAACCTCAGACATTGACTTTGGTAAAATTGTGGCACGCCAAGCACATTTTGAAGCTCATCAGTAATACAGTTGCACAACGGGCCGCCGGGGGAAGGAGAAGGGAAGAGGAGGAGGCGGTAAGTGGAGGACTCCGCTGGGGCAGAGTCAAAGCCAAAACCGAAACCAATGTTGATTTTATTGCTTGCCGCAATGTTTTTAACTTTTGCAGGAGCAACGCCGCCACCGCCGGGCCTCTGTTGCTACTGGAATTACACAATGAGAAACATTACAGAAAATTAATTATAATCTAAAACTTAAAAAAGAATCGAATGTAATTGTAATTGTTGGTAAAGTGTTAAAATATTTTTCAAAAATATTCAAAATATTTTTTAAGCTGACTATTTTACATTCATTACGTTTTATACAAAACCCAAAAATTGTAAGTGTTTTTAAATTGTTAAACTCAACAGTACATTTTTGAATCACAAACTTTACAGCGGTAAAATTTAAAATAAATCCAAATGGTAGATAAAAATCAAAACAAGCTAATGTACCAGGGAATTTTGAGTAATTTTTTCACCGTGTTTTTAGAAGTTCCCTGGGGGGTGTAGGCAACTGTCGCGTTGCATGTTGCTGCTATTACTGCAGCACAGCTCCGGCTCCGCACAGCATTTAACCACTCGGGCAACAAGGCAACAAGGCGACCAGGCCAAAACAGCCAACAGGCAGCAGCCAAACTGCCAGACAGCCGGGCCAAAAGCTGAGCCATGCGATGGCAAAACGTGCTGAGTTTTCGTAATTAGTGCACAAGAGTGCAGCCCGATGGCCACGTGCAGGGATTTTCAGGGGTATTTGGGGGCCAAAAGGGGGCATTTGGGGCTTGGAGGACCCAAAACACTCTCCAGCCGCCGGAGCACGTTTATGTGGGACTTTCGGCCTTTTTGGAGTGTGACATGGCAATGGCAGTGCCTGCGTCATCTATCGCCTTCTTGTGCGAGGATTGGAGTGTTCCTGTTTCCCCAGCAGTTGGCTTAAGTAAGTTGTTAGTCGCTGGCCGCGCTGCCTTTGCGCGTTTGACACACAAGTTGTCGCCTGTAAGCCACTGCCGGCGAATATTGAATTCCCAATGAGATTTTCGTGTTCCAGGCGTCTCAAAAATAAAGGGATAAAGGAATAAAGGGACAAAGAGACGAAAGTTGGGCAAGAAATTGACTCTCAGAATTAACGAAAGGTAAGTCTTGAAGGTTCGGAAAATTTCTTTTTAAATAAAGAAACTAAAGTTAAGAAAAATTAAGGAAGCATTGAGTATATAGTGTATACTGGTAACTTATCAAAAATACTAAATAAAACTTCAAAAAAAGATGACCACATTGAAAACAACCCCCAAACTATTTAGCAATTCATGCTTTGTTTTTTAAGCAATCAATAGATACGAATAAAATCAGTGGTATAGTTTTAAAACTTTCCAGCATCGCTCTTTATGTCTGCCAGAATATTTTTTGTGGACCATTCGCTAACGACATTGGCAGGCAGCAAACAGTTTTCAGCTGCCATGGCCTTAATTTTACTGATTATGGCAGCAACCAGGCAAACTTTTGGCCATTAAAAAAGATTCGTTTTAATGAGTTTGGCAGACAAGGCAACAAGGTCCCAGGCCCACAGCCTCCCATCGCCATCGCCTCCCATTCGCACCCATTCTCCATCGACGTTCCCTTTTTATCGGGGAGAAAAACTGTCGCTGTTTATCTTTTGCCGGCTGGCAGTCAAAATGCAGCCAAGGTCTGCCCCGAAAACTGGACCTCAGATTCAGATGCATGTGCAGATATATGTAAATAAGTGTGTTCGAGCACTCGGAATAAAAATCACTCAGAAATTCAGATAATTACTGCATTAACATAATAAGAAAGTTTCGGAAAATGGTTTGTTTTACTTAATTTATTGTGAAATTACAGAACAAACTTTTAAATTAAATTGTTACATTAATTTTAAATTATATTTAAGTATAAAAACTAATAAAATAAAATAATATATATTTTTTCTGGTTCGTAACTTTAAAGACAGCTTCATAAATTTTTAACTGCTTTCGTTTTTATGATCAAGATTTCCATCATAAAATTTTATTTAGGTACTTTATATTTTTGTAAATATTTTTTTCAGAGATATATGTTTGAAAATTTCCGAATTTTCCAAGTGGATGTGAAATCTGCATTTTAGTGCAATTAACATTCGGGATGAATGCATTGGGATGGGGCGCAGTGGTGCTGTGCATTGGCCATTCCATAAATCAGCATAAATTGAGTGCGCAAATAAAGTAATTGTCCTTTTTGCCGTTTAAGGCTGGTTAATTTCTGGGCCAACACCCGGAGACAAGTAAGACTTTTTACTTTTACCTGACCGAATCCGAATTCGGATTCGGAGTGGAGTGGAGTAATTTAAGATGAGGGCGCTATAAAATCACTTGTTCTGCTAATTGAAAGCCCGGCACAATTAAAGTCGCCGTCTGGATGAGATGACGTTTCCCTCGGAAAAAAACTTTCTCGTTCACTGGACTTTTTCTGCCTGATTGACAGCTGTCATGGCGATAACCGCAGTGGGACTTGTTTCTGGTCTCCTTCTTTTTTTTCTCCCCCGATTAGTTGGGTTTTTCCCGTAAACTGCAAACTGCATACGGCATAAAATGCAGATGCAACTGGCGCACACAGCTCATTTTCTCACTGGCAAAACTCTAGCGATGGGACGGGGATCTTGTGTAATTTCAATATTTCACAATAAATCCGAACGCCGCCAACGCGCCTGTACTTTCTCCATCTCCAAGTTGGCCCAGTCGCATAACGGTTTGACAATTTGCAATGCGCCTGCGCCGCCTGTCACTCCAGATTTTTGGGATCGCAGTCCGAGTCGCGGGATCGTCCCATGAAAAATGCATAAGGGACAAAAAAACAAAGCAGCAGAAAAAATCAGAAACCAACAATGGAACTCAAAATGCCGCAGAAAAAGATACTGCTGACCGATTTGACCGTACATGGACTTGTTTACTCCTTATGTTTATTAGTCCAAGTCCAGTCCACTGCACTGCAGTTTCAGTTCAGTCCCAGTTCGAACGCCTACTGACCGAGTGACTGCCTTCTCGGCACCTCCTCCTTTCCATCTGCAGATATGGGGGGAAAAAACCTCAATGGAGCAGGTTATTGGTCATCGTCTGGGGCTTTTCAAGTGAAATTAAGTCATTTTTCAATGCATTGTATAAGAGAGCGAGTGGCAAATGAATGGGTGAGTTGTGAGAATGAGGGGAAATATTTTAAAGCCACAGAAGAAACGTTTTTTTTTAATATTTTTTTATATTTAAGTAAATAATATTAAATTAATTAAACGAATTTATTAAATTTAAAAAATAGTTAAATATGTTAAGCCCATGACTAAGTATTTAATATGGAATTCTTAAAGTTCTTGTGTAAATACAAGCCTCTAAATACATAGACCTTATGCAGTTAAATAAATATTCACCACAAAAGTAAAAATTTCTTTAATCTTATTTCCCAGACTTCCCCTGCTAGCCAGGTTTGATCGACGTGAAATCTATCATCAATTTGGCTCGAGTTCCCTTCAATATTTTCTCACAATCTCCACCTTGACCGCTGGGTTGACGTTTCAAAGGGAAACCGAACGACCAGCCACTTTCCACACCACACTGTGAACCCAATTTAACCCCACACTGCTTAACCCCCTCTGTTTTATAGGGCCACTTTGGGCCATTTGTGGTTGCCTTGGCCAGTTTGCCAGATAGTTGGGCTGAGGTTTTCCCTGGGACAAAGGCGCTACCCGCAAATATTTGTAAGATGGAAATGTTGTCATCCCAGAGAAACACTTAGTTTCCAGGGCAGTTCTTATCGGAGGCGCAATTTAAGACCAGGATAATGACACAATCGGAAGGTATTGCGATTTAAGTAAGTGCGTTACTCACCTGGCGGCCATTTCAATTGACATGGATTTATGTGCGCCATAAAATCTATAATTACCAACAACCATGTGAAAACGCTAATTTCCACGTCGGAGCAATTAATTGAAATGAAAATGGCCGCAGGGCTTTCTTGTTGTGGGGCTGGGGGAAAATGGGGGAAAAATATAGACTAGGAATGGAAAGCCCCGATGATGTCTGTTTCAGGCATTTCCTTTGACTTTGACTTCGACTGGTACTCCCCCGCATCCCGAGTTAATTAATGCGTGCAATTTAATAAAAGCATAAACGATATATTTAACCGCCTTCTCCTCCTCGACAGTCTCACACAACCGAACGGGCAATAAAATTAATCAAATAATTACGCCGAGCCTTCGGGCCAGAACGCCCAGGAACATTTGACTTATCAGCGTTCCATAAACGAGACATTAAAACTGGTCAAGAAAAGTCGGAACAAGAAAGCCACTGGATAAATACCTACATATATATTGGAGTATTTTTTTCTTCATCGTCTGCTGTTTTCACTTGAGCGCAGCGAGGCATTTATCATTTTTAATCGAATGCGGAAACAATGGAGCGCGTCTAAGTGGAGCATTTGATGTGGGCGATGGTGGGCGCCTGTTTTCTTGGCAGCCAGAAAACCAGTCGAAGGCGATGGCGAAGCGAAAAGGCCAACGAACAGCGGCAACAGAAGCAGCAGTAAGTGCTCAAAACAAATCTATAATAATTTCTTTTAATTGTTGCTCTTCCACTGCAGAAGCTTATGGCCAGATTGATCGACTTGATGGCGGCTTAATGAACTTGCTGTCCAAAGTTGAGTTATTAGTCAGCAGAGAAGGTTAGTAAAAGATTTCTGAACAATTTAACAGATTTATTAAATCTAATTTCGAGTGTAAAATAGAAATCAAAAATGAGGTCATATTTATACAATTTTATTAATTTAGAAAGGAAAACAATTTAAAAAAACAAAGAACGGTCTTCAATAGAGGACGTAAGATTATAAGAGCCAATTTCCTTGCCATCCCTATAGAATTTACCATTGTGTCTAATATTTCCACGGAACATTATTGGGGGCCACCTGTCCACATTAAAGCTACCGTTCTTCAAATAGTAAACTCCCTTCGGAATGACGCAGGGCGACTTGGGTATAAATAAATCGGTGTTAATTCCATACTTTATGCCGTCTGTCAAGTAGTATCCGAATTTCTCGATCACCTCGCAAAATTTTTCAGCTGGAACGGACAAGGGCATTAGCTTATAGTCTCCGTTCCGAGCGGCATCGGAATAAATATCAATAGAGAATGTAAATTGTTCAAGATCCTCAAGAAGTTCAAAAGTTCCATTTAATAAACGTTCTCGCCCAATGAAGCGAAGTTTGGAAAAGTCAAGTGGTGTTGAGTTTACTTCCCAGGTGAGGGATACAAAGTTCACTTCATAGGACTTTTGTTTCTGAAACTGAAATTATTATTAATATTTAAAAAAAAATTAAATATATAAAAAAAAAAATTATAAAATAAGTACCAGGGCTTCGGGGATCACTATTAGACAAACGAACAACATCAACATCACAAAAAACGATTTAACAATTGAAACTAAAACTCGGCTCGTTTTCTCTACACTTATATAGCCAAATTTTTCGCCTTATCCCCTTTGACTACATTGATCTGACCATGTTTAATTGTATTTTATATTATGAGATTATTTGTTAGCTTAATGCTACACGATATTCCTGTGTTTTAGTGGGACAATTATATAAAAAAAAAGCGCACGTGTGTAACACTTGAACAAAACCATTTTATAAATTTCAAAAAGTTTAACCACAAAAAAATTGTTTTGATATGTTATAATAATTACAATAATAATCGCGTATACATTGTCCTATACCTACATTATATTCTATGTTCTATACATTAATCTTTCAGATCATTTCCAGTTCGACTTGAAGTGCAATGTTAGGAACCCACAAAATCCCGGCCAAGATTTGCTCAATTTTTCCAACTTATCGTAGGCTCTCCCCCCTGTTATTTTCCCGTCAACAGGGTCCAAATGGAAGGCGAAACCTAATGTAGCAGAAAATTACTTTATATGCACATGGCAGAGCTGCCGATAGATGGCGCTACGAGTTCATTGGCGACCGAGCCGAGCCTCGCCTATCAGCAGGCAATAATCGAGCCGAACGGCAAATTTAATTTGCTTTAAATTGTTGTTAAATGCGAGCAATTGAAATTTATGCCAGCAAAACACAGGCAGAGAAAAACAAAACAAAAACCGTGATAATCTGCAGCGACAAAGCCTTTGCCACAGCCTCCCGGCCACCGTCATCCACCATCCACCATCATCACCACCATCATATCATCATCATCACCAATTTAGCCAGAAATCGGTGACGCCGCCGGTCGCACACTGGTTTAAATGACCAAAGTTGAGTAAATGTTAATAATTGAATTAGTATTTAAAATCTATCTAAAAAGTTTAATAAAATAGAGAAATAATAATGCAATTGTATATTAAAAGTACTAACTTAAAAATTAATTTCTTTTACAAATCAAAAATGTAACAAAATGCTTGCAAAAATATTGTTTTTGCTCGGTGACAAACTTTCTTCGAGTATTATCTATGTTTTATTATTTAACATTAAGATGGCTCGAATAGACCAAAAATATATATTTTTTTAACATAGACGTTATTTTTAAGTAGAAATTTGAAAAATAGGGTGTACAGATAGTTTACAAATGATTTAAAATAATTTAATATATTTTCTATTTCGAAGAGCAATTATGACCTTTTCTCGTTCAATCTGTTAGCAAGTTTTCAGCTTTTGGACCAGTGTATTTGGTTTGGCTTTGCAGTTTCGTTTTGGTTTTGCCATCGACGATTTGGCGCCGTCTGGGGGCGCATGCGCGAATGTCCTTGTGCGCTATTTTCATTTTCTTTTTTTATTCCAATTTTTTTTCTTTGCTCTTTTTCGACTCGAACATAATAATTTTATAGTGAAAAGTGAAGTAAAACAAATGCGACAAAGCAAATGGCGCAAATTGCCGACTGTCTGCCGAGAGCTGTCGGACTGTCTGTCCGCGTGTCTAACTTAATACGGCATGAAATGTCAATTGGGCTGGCAACCTGCGGGCCGGAGAACCAAATAGCCATATGTCCATATAGCCATATATCCGAGGTACTCTAATCAAATTCAAAACAAATTTGTGCGAACAGAACTCTTTAGCTTTGGTAGTAACATGCGAAAATCGGCAACAAGGCTGCGCCATTTGGAACTGGTTTAAAGTTATTGTCCATCTTTTGATTTTTCTTGGGCTGTCGCGTTGTTGTTGCTGTTTCTGTTGTGTGTTTGGTGTTGCTGTCGTACATCGACAATGTCGTTGCTTTTGCTGTCTCTGGTTGGTGGCACTTGCCTCTTGTTGCCGTTGTCTTTCGTTACTGACTCTTATTGGCTTTTTGGCTCGGTGATTAGTAGGTCAGAGTTTTTCATTTCCAATTGGATATGTTGCACAAGCAGTGTGCAACACACACACAACTCGAAACAAGTGTACGAGTGTGTGCCGCCGCTTTTGGCCATATTAGGAAGGGAACAGCCGACCAACCAGGCAAAACAAACCAACCAACATTCGACTACATCGGACATAGCAACTATGACTAGACTATGACTACGCGGACAAGGCAATAAGAACCGCACTCCAAAAGCAGCAGCTTTGATTCATTCGATCCACTCGGCGGTGGGAAAGTGTCGTGCCCGTCGAACTCATCAATTTAAAGCAATGAAAATGTTTCCCGAAAAACACAATAAGGCTTGACAGTTGCTTGGGTTTAATGGGAAGATCTGGGAAATAATGAAAAAATGTTAATCATTTTTTTAGTAAAGTTAAAGGGGATATAAGTCAGAAAACAATTACTAAAAAAATAAAAATTAATGTTTCAAAAAATAAATATAGAATACTAATAATACTTCCAAAAAAATATAGAATTTATTATCATAATTTCAAACTCCCTAAATCACAGATTACATAAGGTCAAGAAATCCATAAATGAATTGGAAGATTTCATTCAATAATATTATTACAATCGAGTACCTGGCACTCATGTTACACACAAAAAAAGCTGACTTTAATTGCCTTCGGCCACACTTTTGGATCGGTCAGCAAAGGCAACCAAAATCAACACACATATATTTTCCCCCGCAAAATCAGTAAAAATATTTTATTTATCTTACGAGTGGGCCAACGCCTGTGACTGAGCCAGAGTCTCACCTCGCCAATGGCAATGCCAACGAGAAAGCATGAAAAACAAATATAAATTTTTATATTTATTTTCGTTTCTGTACTTTTGTGGGGGTGGCGCCAAGCCAAAGACCCAAACTCAGATCGAGACTCAAACCCAAAAATTGCTGTGTTCGGTGGCCTCCAAAAGCACAAAAATTCGCACGAGTATTTAACACCAAGAGCAAAATGACACCAACAACAATGACATTAACAAGCTGGAGAAACAAAATAACAATAAAAGCAGATAATAATAACAGTCGGCTGGGGCAATCAATTTGAAATTGAAACTGGCTTTTATTGCGGTAGGTGGGCTGGTATTTTCCTATACCCGATATTATGGCCGTGCGTAGGATTGGAGTCCCCAAGACACGACTTACACCACACCACCGAAAATTGTGACTGTGCAGGCCTGCCTTTTTTTGGCCATCACCAATTGAGGCTTATTATTTGCAATTAGAGCCCGCCAGCCAAGGCGATGCTGCTCTTTTGCCGCTAAAAATAACCACTGCCATCAATTTTAGAGTTAATTTATATTCGTTGTGATTGGATTTTAATGTGCGTAACTGCCAACTGCATGCAAACATCAAAGACTGGGCAATTAATCAACACGAGTGCTAAATAGAATGATTCTCATTTCATGCTAAGCATTTTAAGGCGTATCGCCGGCAATCGATCAAGCAAAAGAAAACCTTGGTGGATTTTTATCTATTTTTTGACACGCTTTGGGTAATGCATAAAATATATATTCCATATGTTTAAAAAATCAGTGCCAAAGAACGGACAAAAAGGCAACACTCCTTTTAAGATGCGAACCCATTAGAATCACAATAAAATCATTAAAATTAAAGTTTAGTAGGCACACTCCCACGTTAAATCAAAAATTGAAAAAATTTCATAAGCCTAAATCTAATCTTGATAAATTTCAATTAAAATAGAAAAATAAGGCAAAGTGATTAAATCAATGTGTGGACCAAACTAAAAATAAATTAATAACCCACTCAAATGCATTTCACACTTTTATTTGGCTTGTTTAATTATCCAATTATATACATTTAATTATTTGTAATTACCTTATTTAGCATTGGGTAATAAATTTGTATATAGTATGTGTTGAAAGGCAATTATTGTATTTGATTTTTGACTAACACGTTTCTCATTTATTATCATAAAATCATGAATTTATTTTTCAAAAATATTATGTGCACTAACAATATTTAACTTGACGTTTTTACTTATTATTCCGAAAACATCCTTAGTATTCAAGTATCCCTTAAGTAATTATCCTTTAAGCTTTGAAAACTAGAGTTTCGGCAGTAAATCACCTTTAAATTTCCGTATTCGAATTATCAACAGCAGTCCGACACGATTCGTATAAAATATGTAGATGATGACATATGGCCTCAATGTTGGACCGCTAAATATATAAAAATTTATAGTCTGTGCCCAGCGGTAACCCCAATAATAAAAAAAGGAGGGAAATAAATAAAATAATCAACTCACCTGCCACCCTCGAGCACACTTACCTCTTTATTTGAGCCCACTTATTTATAAAACCAGACACGCACCCATATACATCACTCGGATCGCATCGGATCGGATGGATATACTTCTATATGTGTGCACTCGTGTACATAATGTCGAGCAAAACCAATCGCTGATGTGAAACGTCTCGAATGCGTTGGCGTTTTGTCAACACTTTCGGGCGGGGGAGGCACCACTTACATATATGCGATACATGGGAACCTGAAAAGCAGACTCTGGCTGCAGAAATCACTTTGATGAGCATCGGCATTGACATGTCGTTGAAATTATTACCCCGACTGTCAGTTGGCATCCACATTTATTCACTCGACGGCGCATTTCGAGTGGTCTTTTATAATTGGCACTCGGACAGGAGTTTGGTGTTGTGGGTGGTGGTGGTGTTGTGTGTGTTGCCAAGATGCGACACCAATTCGAAATCCAAATCCCCGTCCACCGAGCACCGGGCTTAAAATCAATATTTATACGTCCTCGCTCACGCCCTGTGATCGGCTGCCCCGTCCAATTCCCCCGGCCAATCATGATGAGTTAATGCCGCCAACAGTCAGCCATTAGACGGACCAGTGGACACTCCAATCCCCACTAAACCCCCCTTTCACCCATTTCACAGCCTGTCTCCCTGTCATTTCGAATGTCTGATGATGTCGCACAGGAAAAAATTAAGCCATCTCTATTTTCCCTTTTACAAATATTTCTGAGACGTTTTAAAGAAATAAATCACACATAACATACGTCGAATCACAAAGTAAACTATCCAATTATATGATACAATATAATTAAAACGGTCATAATCTGGATCAATACTAATATTATTAGAAAAGTAATAACTCAAGTATTCAAAATAAAATATATCCATTAATACTTGAATTCATATTTTTAAAGATTTAATAAAACCAATCTAAAAGTTCAGAAATACCTTCATGTAATAGTTTTACAAGTGGAAATAATAGATTTTCGATTAGCCTTCGATAAGATATTTTAAATATTCCTTTAATATAAAGTTTCAAATGAAATATATTGGTAAGCTTTTTCTCCGAGTGCCCATGTTACTGTCCATGGAGATTTGCATTGGTTATTAGCTCAGCTGCTCATCGGGACCTTCTATCTGCGTGTGTGTTCCTGTGTGCGTTGTCTGCGGTTTCGATTTTGTTGACAATTTGTAGCGTAATTAATTGAACCAAAATTAATAAAAACAACAACAAAGCCGACAAGCGGACTGACGAACAGACGATGACGACAGCAGCACAGCTTTTGTTGTTATTGGTTGTTTGTTGTGTCGTGTGTTATTTGGTGTTGCTACGGTCGCTGTGGTTATTGTTGTGTTCGGTGTTTGAATGGAAAGGGGATTACAATTGGCAGCGACGAGTGATACATAATGTTAAATGACTTAAACGCTTGACTGACGGGGGCCAAGCGAAAATATAAAATCACGTTCCTCGCAGCAGCAGCAATCCATCCATATAACCACCATCCATACAACAACCATCGCTCACGATTAGCCACGATCTTTGGTGGCTGTGACTGCGGTTCATATCGGTGGGTTCATATTGCTTTGACTTTTCTGCAGTTTCACTTTTCGCCTCCTTGTGTGATTTGTTAAGCTTTGTCAATGCACGGACATATCCATTATTCTTCACACACGATTAGTTTTCGATGCTTCAGTGGCGAACGCTTTTCATGGCTAATAAGCGTTGATTGATATGAGCGGGCTAAACTATGTTGCCGAAAGTGATCCATGTTTATGTCAATGGGTATTTAAATCAAAGTGCAATCTGCATATCACAGATTAATCTGTATTTATCTGTACTATTTTCCCAGTAACAATACAGGAAATACAATATCAACAAAGCTAAGATTCACAATCAGTTTTTATAACTTCATTGATACAAAATTAAAAACAAAAGCCCGGCATATGTTTGTGCAACACTGACATATAAATAAAAAAATCTTAAATGTCAATTAAATTTATGCATGTAAATTGCTTCGTATTAATTGCCTATTGTCAACCCCCCTGAAAGTTTTACAAAGTAACTTTACTATGCCATTCATAAATTCACCAACTGATTCATATGCCTCGCACCCACGCGACCCTTACTTATGCAAATTAGAGATATCAAAGTGCTTAGAAAAATTAATTATCACTAAAAATGAGATGGATAGAAAAAAATAAAGACACCGAGCTGAGAAACAACAACTTAATCGTTTGGCATTTCCGCTCGTCCAATTCCACTCAAAATAGCCAGCTTCCACTTCCCAAAAGCCAAAAGATAAAAAGCAAACTAAAGAGAACCTGTGCAGGTGGTTATGACCATGAGGCAGCGTGGGCCGGCCAAGTCGAGTGTATTTCCGCTTGAAAGCGGCAATAATGATATTTGTAATAATAAATTTACGTAAAAATATAAAACAAAATCAACGTTGACTCAAGTCGCCGCCCACTCAGCGGCGACACCAACGCTTTTTGAGGCTGCAGACAAAGTGAACAACCGGCAAAGGTAGCAACAAAGTAAAAAAGAGAAAAATCCAGCCAGAAACGCGACTCAGAAGCTTGGCCCAAAGCTTCACAGTGCTCACAATTAGCCAGTTGAGAGAGTTTTTTTTTATTGTATTTTTCTCTGCTTTCTCACCGCTTTCCCAAGCGGCGGCCATAAATGGTGGCAGACACGTCTCACAGACTTCCTAAGCGGGATCTCCGGCCATCCAAGTTGATGAAGAGGGGGGCCTTTAGAGCTTATAGGCTATGGTCCCCCAGATCGGACTTATACACTGGGCATCGCGCTTGCTTTGTGACCATATTAAGGCAAATGCGATTTCCGAAGCGGGCAATTAAAAGCCAGAGCCAAAGTGGAAACTTAGAATATTTGCATAAGCAATTGAATGACATGGCAGGTGGAGAAGGGATCAATAATATCAGATTATAAACAATATATAAATAAAAATAAAATAAAAAGGTGTTATTAAGTAGGTCTATACATATTAACTGTATTTATAAATATTTAAATTTATTTATAATTTCTATAATAATATTTAATATGAAATATAATTTTTATAAAATAAATAATATTATAAAAAAAATAATAGAACTGAACACTTATATCAGCAAGCCGAAGTTTATATATATAATGCAGTATTAAATTAATAATAAAAACAATTGTCTAGACAAACAATGAATTATTAACCTACAAAATACTTTTATCAAATAAAAACACCCTTAACAGGTTAAAATTTGTGACGACCGCACTGTTCAACATACAAAAGTTCTAGATATCAACATTTGTGACGAAAAATTAGTACACTCGTCATTAAATAGACTTTCTAATGATTTTCCATTCGGCCCGCCCTAGCAAACAATACGAACCTTTGGCCCACAGGCATTTTCTATTGCAGCGTGCCGAAAAAGCTAAAATTTGCGCTAAAAAGCCTAAAAAAAAGTTTTAAAATTTTGTCTTTTGTTCACCCTATTTTTTTAACTATGACAGCTATACAGAAATTGACGTCATAGAAGGCGTTTTATAGCATTATCAAAGTACGTTTCAAACAAGATGCAGCACAAGTTTGTAAAGATTTAGTAGTATAGAAGTTACGGCTCTTCCGAATTTTAGCTAATTATAGCTGATTTTCCCAAGGCTAAATCTAGCGAGTTTTTCCAAAATGGGAGAACAAAAGTTTTTTATATCGATGTGATGAACGTCATATCAAATTTTCAGAACTTAAAAACATGTTTTGGATCAAGCGGACACAGTGTACAAGGGACAAACAGAATTAAAGTTTCATTTTGGAGGCGAAAAACTAATTTTGGCTATAACTTTTGAACCGGAGCGTCGGTTTTGACAAATGACACCTACATTCGACGGGTATTTTCAAACGGACATACAAGGACAATCATTGGACAGGGCATTTATCCCCACCGGCCCCAACAGCTCCAAATTTCTAAATTTTTACTTTATGGGGTTCACCGGTCTCTCTCCCAATTCAATTGATTTTCTTAAAGTCTTGGTATGCAATCCTTTAAATTATTGCAATACCCTTTGCGATTGGTATAAAACTCATAACGATCTGAACTATTATATCAGATATACATTTATACGTATATATAATGAGTAATAAAGACTAATAAAACAATTGTCCAACAATGATTCTTTTCTTTCAGAAAGACTGCCGTCCATAGTGATAATTTATTTTTAACCCCTCTCAGCCACCCCCCTGTATTTTCGGGAAACATCCATAACTTGATCAAGAAACAAACATTCAAATGTGACGTTTGCTTTTTTAATTATGGCTCGCTTATTCATGTTCTTGTCTTTTGAGTCTTCGTCGACTTCGTCCAGCAGATTAAGTTGTCAGCGAAAAAAAAACACATCACCATTGGCCAATTTGTATGTTTTTTTGGATATGCTCAGTTAGTGGAAAATATTCATACATTTATAATTTTTAGCTCACTTCGCACGCAAATCAAATTAATGTTGCATGCGTTACTTTTTCACTCTCTTGAAATCCGTGTGACGACCTTGTGCCGTGAAAAATGTATGCTTTCTGGGAGGCGAAACAAAAAAAAATTATAATCAAATTTAACTGTTGTCATCATGATTTATTTACTTAAGAACAAAACACGACAAACGATGACGAACTCGCCGTCAGACAGAAGCACAAAGATAAATTAATCGCCAGTCAGTCGGGGAGTCGATCGGTCTATTGCCCGCAGTCATTTATTCACCAGTGCTCATATATATGAGTATTGAGTATATCGGAGCAAACTGGAGATTTGGGGCCCGAGTATGTCGTCATGGCAACAATAATAAGAAAACAACTTGTTTTGCCTGCAGGAGCAAATCCATTTTGCAATTATTTGCCCGTTGTCAGTTAATTATAATTATTTGTGAAGCAACAAAATGATCGGTAAGAAAAAAAACTATTCAAAAAATGACTATAAACAATATGGTTTGTTGAAAAACAGCAACAACTAAATCGGGTTTCGACAAATGAATTGTGACTTTGAAATCAGCTTAGCAATTTGAAATTAGACGCGATTTGAAAACAACTTGAGAAGTGCACACACCCAATACATCAACTGAAACCGATCGCAACGAATTAGAATAAATCATAAAATCAAAATATTATTAATCATAGCGAACACACTCACACTCTGTATTTAATTGTATTTCAAACCGTCGATTCTGTGTTAATTTATTACTTTAGAAAATCTAAGAAATAAATTTGATCTGTTATCAAAAGTTCCATAAATAAATATATGTCAGCAGCTAGTTTCTTTTATGGTTCAACTGGTATAAAAAAAAAAAAATCACACTAAAAACAAATATTCCCAAAAACAACATTCATACCAATAAAATTTTATTTGAATTCTGTTTTTTTTATAATAAATATTTTGGGTGTCAACTACTTAGATAAAATATATATTTATGAATAAAATTCAACAATTTTTAAACGCATCATTTTCAATTTTTTAAAATAAAAACTGAAGCAGTTTAGTTCGTACAGATAAAACTCAGCCATCCACTTCGAAATGAGTACATTTCCTTGAACTTTATTTCGACATGCATCATAATTCGCCACCAAATCCAAAGTTAATCCAAATAAATATCAAGAACTGAGTATCATTTATGGTCTGGCATCAAAAGTTCAACCTTAAAAATGGAGATCCGACACACAAGTCAAGCTCGGTAGCCCCTGTGATACCATCTCAATCAAAGACGAATAAACATTTTTCTCAACTATTTTCAAGTGAGCTCTAAAAAAATGTCTGACTTGTACAAATGAATGTCAAACGCTGCTGCAGCAGCAAATAAAATTAGCAATAAATTTAAATAAATAACTGCCTGGCGATATTAGATCATACGAAATCTCAGGGGAGCTATTTGCAACTCAAAAGCCAAAAGCACTCGAAACGAAACCGAAAATCTATCTGAATTGGAAATCACTCAAGAGAGTGCGCGTACTGAAGATGAAGACCAACTGAGATACCATACGATGCGATCCCATACGATCCGATACGATCCGGCCAACGCAAAAAGCACCCACACATCGGGTGGATGGATATTCGGGGAAAGAGAGAACTGGTTTCTCTTCAATGATATTGTGCTGTATTTTGTGTTGGCGTTGGCGAGCGCCAGTGGGTTTCTCGGTCGCTTTTGCTGGCCGTCGCTCAGAAAAACGAGACTTTGCCTTGCTTTGCCTTTTAATGCGGCATTTCATTCATTGATCGTTCCAATAGCGCGCCGCACGCTCAGCGCAGCGGACAAGTGAGCTGAAAAAGTCAGGCTTCTCGTACCGCGTATCTCGTATCCCACCGCCCACTTAAACCGCCGCTAAACCTGGCTAACGGAGTCAAAGCCAACTGAGGAGCAGTCAGCTGATTTGGCTGCCATCCCATTCCGATGCCGATTCCGATTCCATTCCAAGCACATTGACGATGCGATCCATCCGCGAGATATAATATCTTTTCAGTGCACAGCCGACAAGCGCAGCAGGCGGACGCAGCGCAGCATTTTCTCCGTGTATATTTTCGTACATGCCAACTCGGGACATTGGATACAGATACAGATACACAGCCGAGCGGTACGCGTACTCATAGATATTTTTAGCAACCGGCCTCACGCACACCGCCGCCTATATATTGGTTCCGCTGTCGCACCGACACACGCGGCTTGCACGTTTTCATCGGAAAATCTTCGAGGCTTTTCCTCAAGAATAAAAAAAAAAACCAACGCGAAAAACAAACAAACCAACGTTCTTATCAATAATTTAAATCGCCCCGCGAAACCCATTCAAAATCAAGTCAAACCAAAAAACAAGTTCTTGAGTTATTTTGAGGAAATAAAACTGAAAGCAAATCTCTTTTTTGTTGTGTTAATATGCCAAATATATGCATGAGCTAATAACTTTAATTCCGATAAAAATAAGGAAAAAACAAAAACCCAAAACAAAACAAAATTCAAGAAGAGATCGCATATCAAAATTAGTTGGGTGACTAATTAGCTGATGCGTTGTCGGAATTTCAATTTGCATACTTTGGCGCAACTTTAATGAACCAAAAATTAAAATAAAAACATCAACAAATCTTAATCAGAGTGCACAACTAAATTGAAAAGATCCCGTGCAATCCCGGCCAGCCATATATTGTTGGATTTATGAAATCAAAAAGGTAAATATACCACCTCCATTTATCAGCCATGAATATATAGAGAATATGGGAGAATCTTCTCCCCGATCTCTGGTTGCCGTCCCAATAAAAATAGACAAAAAGGCGCATTCCTTTGGCCAATCACGTTAGTGGGTGGCAAAATCGGGGGGCAGGGCGGTCTTTTGAGAAACTTCTGAAACATTTATTTGTCCAAGGTGTTGAAAGGCCAGATGTGTGGTGGTGTTCTCGAGATGCTCAGGAGGGAAAACGGTGACGACAGTCGGTTGTCAACTGATTTTCAAAGGTTACCGAAGGGAAGCAGCAACTTGGCTTCGTTTGTTTGCGGCTAAAATGAAGGGGAGAACAGTTTAATTAATGTGTAAACAAAAGCTGTAAATACATTGTCAACGAATCGAGTCGGGTGTCCCGGGCACTCACTTTTATTTGAAAATGTGCTAATCAACGACATCATGTATTTATTTATTTTAATTTCTGGAGTTCAAATTTGCTTATTTTATATCGTAATATGTATTCGTTAGAAAACTAAGCAAATTTTTGAAGAATTTGAATTTTTAAACCGAAAGTATACAGAAATATTATTTCTTAAAAATTTCCTTATCACTAGCTTCCAAAATCTTAGTTCAGAGTTCGTTTTAATTCATGATATAATATGAAAAAAAATGTTGTGCATAAGCTGACAAGAATTATAAACCAAATGTTATGATTATTACAATCTTTTTCATGAACTTCAAAGGAAAAGTCCAGAATTCCAGATATAATTACTTAATCAAGTCAGCATTTTATGCTTTAAGTTCTAATCCCACAGAGGAATAAATCTAAAATTATTATTAGATTTTGGACTCATATGTATACAGGTCTTCCGCATCTCTATATATACTTGCCTACCTCATTGTTTGCTGTCCCCCTGACCCAAATCGCAGTCAGTATATGTGGGAACACTCGATGGCAAGGCGACAATAACAAAAACCATAACAATAACAGGGAAAATGAATGAAGAAAAATAAAAATTAGCCAAAAGGCAAATGCCAGAGACCTGTCAAAAAATCAAGCAAATCAAAAGCCGATGGGTAATACAAAACCGCACAGAAAGCTATCAAAATATAACTCAAATGTAGGCACACACACATATCTACATATATATATTTATCCACACAGTGATAAAGGGAGACAGAGAATGTAAACACGGCCACATCACACATACGCAGTGTGTGCCAATTTTAATAAACAAACTCAACGTAAATGGAAAATCAAACAAAATCATTTGGCCAAAGCAAAGGCAACAAATCAACAGCATAGAAAGGAAAAAGAGAGAAAAACGCAACATACAAAGAAAAACAGCAAAAAATTAAAAGATGGCAAAAAGGAAAAAACAAAAAAATAACAAATAAGAACTTGCCGCAGGCTGGCTAAAAATAATAGCTGCCAACGGTAGCACACACGAGACAAAAAAAAAGAAAAACAATAAAAAAAAGGCAGAGGGCGACGTGCAACGTGCAACTAGCAACTGCCAAAAGCACGAGACAACAACAGCAAGAATAACAAGCACAGCTAGCAAAGCAACAACACAGGCTATATATCCCACCATATAGTTAAAGCAACAAAGTCGAACGCAAATGAAAGATTTTGACGCTTTCCACACAAAAGCAAATTAAGAATCACAAATCGAAAAAGATAAAAAATAGACAGAGCGCTACGAAAATAAGACAACAAAAATAGTGAAAGAAAATTCAAGTTGCATACAATAAAAACTAATTTTAGAGCGATGGCTGAAACAACAGCAACAAGAACCGAATCAAACTCATGCCAGGCACAGAGACAATCTGAATCAGCCAGAGATTCTATAGCAGATCGAGCCAGAAGGTAGATCGCAAAGTTAAATAAGCTCTTCAAATAATTTTAACGGAAAAAAGAGGCAGAAAAATCTTTTGGGCAACCAAAGTAATAAAAAACCTTAGATCATTTAATTTTTCTGTATAAAGTTGAGGAAAAAATTAAGAAAGAGCAATGAAATTATATTTATGATTAAAAAATAAACATTCAAAGAATTAAAAACACGTATAGAGGTTGTTACAAAATTTTAAATTACATAAAATGATATTATCTGAAGCCTTCAGATACAAAACACATTTAATTAAATTGCCTTAATCAATATAAAAGTAAATGGTAAAATGACGAAATACTATTTAAACAGGGTAAATAAAAAGTAAAATACCTAATTTAGATTTTTGGCCCATTTTAGATATTATTTTAAAGAAAACTAAATACAAACTTTGTGATCTCCCCTCTTTCTATGAATGCCTCATGTGGTTCAGTTCAGTATTTTTTGTGCCCAAGCAGCAGACGCTTCATTTTCCATTTAACCGCACCCGACTGCCCGAATCCTTGAATTCTACAATGCCTCTGCCCCCCTTCCTTTACCGCCCCCCGTAAAACCCATGGGCGCGCAGACAAGCGTGCAGAAAAAGTTCTAAATTTAATGGCTACACCTAAAAATGCAGCGACTGCAACCGAACCAAAAGTGAAGGGCAGACTGGAGGGGGAGTCGCTCGCCGGTAGTTTCAAGTGCACTCCGGCTAGGCCTGGCTAACTTCCCCTTCCTATCCCCTTTCTCCCCACACCACTCTATGCATCCGATTTTCCCAAAAAAAGAAAATATATCTGTGAAACGGACCGACCCACCCACACGCCCCTGCCCCGCCCCTCGACCCCTTCACGCCTCGTCGCACGCACGGCTCGCCTTTTGTCTACCTCGTTGTTGGTAAAAGAGAAAGGGAGGAGGGGAAAGGGTTGCACTGGAAAAAATAAATATAAAGAAAAGTAAATAAAAATAAATATAAAGTAAATATAAGAAAAGTCCGTAAACAATTCATTTGCAAAATATTTTGTTTTTTTTTAATTTACTGCATACTATCAGTAACAAAAAAATCCAAAATTTTTGTTAAATAAATATTTCAAAAATAAACAACAGTTTGTTTATTGATTAAAAAATGTTATGATTAATTTTACTTAAGATGTATTTTAAATTGAAATTTAATTGCTGATATTACTATAAATATTATTTTCTTAAATTCATTTTATATTTATTTATGTATTTTATACATTTATTTTTGATAGTTAAAAATAATTTTCTTTTATTCAGAATTTGTTTTTCATTTCCCAATATTTTTTCCATGTGTAGGAATGAAATGAATGGTTTTTTGTTCAAGAGGTGGAGGAACTGTTCCATGTTTGTTGTCTGTGCATTTCAATTGGGCGCTTTCTGCATTGTGCCGGCGTGTAATTGAAAACTTAAGCAGAAGCACCCCGTCCACTTTATCCACCGAAAAACGCGCAACAAATTTTCCAATCAACAGAGAACGAAAACAGTGCCTAAACACCCACGCCCCCGCCGCCGCTCATTTCCCGGCTTTCCCAAACTTCCTTCCTGCATATCCTGAATCCCTCCGGTTACGCCCACTGAAAATCAGCGGAGCCCGCTTGTTGCTGTTTGTTCAACAAACGTTTATTAGCCGCGAATACTTTTAATCGCATGCAATTTGTTGATTGTGGCCAGTCCGCTGCACTTTAAACGCTTTTCCACCCATCGAGAGCCCACTTTGAGCGCACGGAACTAGGTAATTTTCACGTCGTTTTGGGGAAAGGGAAGTGAGCAGGTGAACACAACGGTTGCCGCCCCTCTGCGAAGACGGTGCACAAATTTTTCTGTGTTGTGCGCTTAATTGCAGCTTGTTTGTTGCATGTCGCAAACTTTAACGATGCCCTTACAACTCAAGTGGGTACATTCCATATACTTAGGGCGGGATTTTCGAGGAATGTTTTATCGCTTTGAAATATGCTCTTAAATAATACGGTTATAAATAGGCCTTAAGTATAGATTTTTCTATCTTTCGATATTAAGAGTTGTACCAAAGACATGTTTTTAAAAAAACTATACAAATGAAACGTTGTAAAATGTAAAGTTTATTAGCTTCAGAACTTAAAAATCTAGCAGAAAGCGTTTCTAAAATTGTTAACAGGATTTAACTTAGAATATAGGAAATAAAAAATAAAAACAAAATTACAAAGAGAATAAAAGGATTTAACTTAGAATTAGAGGCAATTTATATGAGTTTCCATAAATGTAAATTTTCTTATAAATGGATAACATATAGTGAAATTTCCCAAAACCACCTAAAACTTTGTGAAAGGGCATGCCAACCGTAGGCGCATTTTGAACTGTAAAACTTCTGTCTGCAGGGTCTTTAAGCATTTCTTGGGATTGCGTGGTAAAAATTAATTATACCTCAAATCAGAGGCGAAACGCCGCAGAAAATGCCGGCACGAAGAGAAAAACCTGGCCACGTGTTGAAAGTTTTGCGTTTCTGGCAGATAGAAAGAAAGGTGATTTGAATGGATTTAGCTGGGACTTGCGAGATGATCTCTAGGAATTCGTTCTCTCCTTTCTGCCAGACAAAACAAACATTAACGGTAATCGAAGAAGAAAAGTAAGCACTGACTTAAGGAGAAACACCTCACAACTCGTTTAGGCCAGGCCAAGAGCGAGCTCTGGGAATGGTCAGAGCTATGCAACAAGTGTCAAGCAGGCCAGGCCAATCCAAGCCGGATCGGGCAAGGTGGTCAGTGGCCAGAATCGTTGTCGTCCAAAGCCCAGGCCAATTTTGGACAATCTGCACTAAATTGTCCATTTAAGTGAGGCCGACTAAACTGACTAACTCGATGTGAGCTGCTCCCCTCAGATCAACTGACTGCAATCAATCTGCTAGCATTTACACCTCTGCATTCAGAATGGCAAACTGGTAAAACGGAAAAATTTATGAGGCCAAGGCACAATTGCAAGGGCGTTAGCATCGATGCAGAAACATTTCAATCTTTGTGTTTGGGAGGTGGAAATGAAATGACGCCGTTGCGTTGGCCTCATGTTACATTTTCATGTAACTTAATTCTTGCATTAAAATGCATTCATTAACTGTTGCTTTTGCCTTTGCTTTGCATTGTTTTGTTGCATTTCTAAACCGCCAAACAGCCACCGCAAAAAGTATCTGCCTTAATGGAGGGGGAGGTTGGGGAAAAATAGCAGCGAGTGAAAAGCGAGTGGAAAATATTTGGTATAGCTGACCTACCGCAAACAAAAGAAAATAATAAACATTTTATTTACCACCGCAAAGGCAAAACTTTCCCAATGCGAAAAATGGAGTAGAGTTGTTGCCCTTGGCAATGATGGGAGGGCAGTGTTTCCCTATCAGTTTTAAATTCCCCAAAAACTTGGCATATCAAATAAAGTTTTTTTTTTTCCTTTGTACTTAAAATGAAATTTCCCGAACACAATCTACTCATGCTTCTTACAAATTTCGTGTGTGAGTAATAACAAAAACTAAACAACGAATTACAGCTGATGATTAGCGTTAAAATCTTTTCTTGGAACTTGATATGCGATAGGAATACCAAAAAGCAGCCAGTTTATATTTCGTTGCTTCATTTTGGATTTAAGTGCTGAACAGTAAACGTGATATTATTTTTTTAAAAATAATAGGATTAATAAAAGGAACCCACAGGTAAAAACAAATAAAATAATTTAGGGTCATACGATAATATAATCCATTTGATAAAATCAATTTTATTTTTAACTAGAAAGTTGGATTTTAGCCACACCATTTTGCTAAATACCGCAATACCATTCCGAATTTAGCTTTTATTTGCCTGAATAAATACTCGTTTGTATATTTCAAAAAAGAATTTTAACGAGGTCTTAAATATTTTTATTAGGTTTCGTGTGAAAGGTTTTATTGTAGCTGATGGAATTTTTATTTATTTTCGAAGCTATAGCTGGAATAAATCGTTTTATCCATTTATACTGGAAGTTTCATACGTTTTATTTGAAGTTAAATTTATTTGTTTACAGGAAATACATTTTTAATAAAAAATTGCAGTATTTTTTTATGAATAATGCACGTATTTTTCTCCAAAGAAATGTAAACATCAGTCACTTGACATTTGTTTACTTTTACATTACTCACTCTATGAGCAGCCCACAGAAACTAATATGGACTTTTCGTCTGACCAGAATTTAACAACTTGACTAAACCATTTTTAGGATTTACAAAAGCCAGCTCACTGGTGAAATGAGTCGCTTTTGAGTGAGAATATGACTCAGAAACAGATCGCGAAGATACTAGGAATTTTCGTAGATTGCGCAATGCAATGAGCAATGAGAAATTTCATTTGGCAGACCAATTTGTTCTTGCCCCCGCATCTAAATTGTATTTATGAGGTTTTTTTCCTTTGGTTTGATGCGTTTCGATTCGTTCGGATTCGGTTTTTCGGCTTCAGTGGGTTTTATGACGGAAGCACTACTCAAGAATCGACTTCAGTTCATTGAAGCCAATTCGAGAGCCGTTTACGGAAGTTTTTGGCGGGGTGGGTCCAAAAATGAAAAAATAAAAGACACACAGAAGAACCGTTTCGCTTGATTGCACAGACCCCATATGCTCCCCGAAGAAAATAGTACAAAATTGTTAATTGCCCCGGGGATGGGATGGGTTCGAAAATAAAACAGCCTAGAAGACCCTCGACTAAAGTCTGCCTCTGCACTTCACTTTCAGATGAAGTCCAACACGTACGAGCTGCACAACTACGCCGATCTGAATGACATGGATGACCTGGCGGAGGAGCCCAAGGACTCCAGGAAACGAAAGACCAGTGCCCGTGGTGAAAAGTACTCCCTGCGGCAGAAGCGACAGAAGAGGAGCGCCACTGATGAGGCAGAAGGCCTTCCCGACTTTCACTTGGAACTGGATCACCTAGTGGAACCCGCTGGTAAATCCAGGAAAAGCACCACCACCAAATCCAAGACGAAAGCACCGCCTTTGAGCAAATACCGGCGGAAAACGGCCAATGCCAGGGAGCGCACCAGAATGAGGGAAATCAACACGGCCTTCGAGACCCTGAGGCACTGTGTTCCCCAGGCGATAACCGGCGAGGATGCGGCCAATACCAATGAGAAGCTCACGAAGATCACCACCCTGCGTTTGGCCATGAAGTACATCACCATGCTGAGCGCTTCGATGAGGGATCCGAGCTATGAGAGTGAGTTCATAGGCGAGTGCCTGGAGGAGAGTGCCAATCGGGAGGACTTTCACTGCCAGCGAGGAGGCCGAGGAGGTGGAGGTGGAGCTGCCCATTCCGGTGCCTGTCAAGAAGCCAGCCAAGAGCAAGGCCAGTGGTAAGAAGAACGCGACGGCCGGCAAAAGACAGAGCCAAAAGCAGGGGAAGATGGTGCCGCAGATACCTGCGCCTCCTCCAATTAGCTCAGGGGAATCCTGCTATGCCACCTCCTCCATAGGATCGCCCGCCTCCTCCGCCTATGCCTCCCTCTCCTCCGCCTCCTCGTCGAATAGCCACAGCAGCAGCAGCAGTCCGGGATTGGAGGTGGACAGCCTGGTGGAGCTGCAGGAGATGAGCGCCCTGGACTCCCTGCTCCTCGATGCCTCCGATGGCGATTCCCTGTCCTGCTTGAGTCCCGGCTACGGAAGTCTCTTGACTGGCAGTGGGGAATCCCTGTTGCCAGGTTGCCGGGGGGATCTGCCCATGTCGGGCCTGGAGAAATCCGATGTGGAGCTTAGTCTGCGATTACTGGACCACCGATCCATGGACTCCTTCGACTTTGCCAGCGATCAGCAGCCCTCGTCCTGCATCGCAGCCTTCTCCTCCCTGGACAGTTTCTCCTACAATCTGCTGGACGGCGATCTAACGGACATGTTTCTCGCGTGACGCGTATTTATTAAATACTTAGCTACCCTACTCAACTACTCTCTTTTTAAGTTTAACCCTCGTCTTAAGTTAGAGTGCAAGTTTTAACCCGACTTTCACATACTTAGCCATTTACATTGCGATGCGCCCGAGTGGCGGAATTCATTGTGTCATAGAGAGCAGCTCGAAGGATAGCCACATATGTCCACGTCCTGCGAAAAGAAAAGCTGCTCACCGCCACATCCACATGATAACTCAACACAACTAGTGATCTAAGCATTTCTTTGTGACGCATTTCTCGTTATCGTGTAAATAAAGCACCCAGTGTTGTTTCATGAATTATAAGCGAAATGTTTTGTGAAGGAAGGGGTTTTGAATGGTGGGTATATCATGGGTATTTTTAGAAATAAATTATTGGAAATAAGATAACTGAGTGCCCAAAAGCATGCAGTAAAATAAGAATAAATAAAACGTTGCATACTTTTCGACACCTTCATAGTTAATTCAAAATAATTGTCAATAAATATTCTTAAAATCTAGTAGTCTCTCAGAAACTAGTTTTTAAGGACTCTAAACGACCATAATAAGTATCGTACACCATTTTAATAAATATTTATCACTGAAATAAGAGATCCCAACTTATACAATGGATAATAACGAGAATACCTACAATCCGGAGGAGGACTTTCCGGAGGTGTACAAGGTCTGCAAGCTGTTCAGACCGACCGACGACGACCTCGAGAAGATGCGGAACCTGATGGACCGCGAGATTCACATGGGACTGAGTCGCGATCACCACGATCGCTCGACGGTTCCCTGCCACATGAGCTATGTGCAGGATTTGCCGTCGGGCAGGGAGCGCGGTCAGTTTCTGGCCCTCGAGATGATGCCCACGAACTGCAGGATAATGCTGGTGAAGTTCAGCAGCGAAAAGGACATCTACACGAGTTCCAAGTGCGTGATAATGCCGCACACAGTGGCGGCGGGCAGGGGCACCGAGGTCTTCAGCTTCCTGGCCACGAGTATTGCGAATTTCGTGAAGGAGAAGAAGGTGGAGAAGGATAACCTACCTCTCGGCATTGCCTTTGCCTTCACGCTCAACAAACTGGCCTTGGATGTGGGCATCCTGGTTTCGTGGACCAAGGAGTTCGGGGCCCAGGGCGTCATTGGCAAGGATGTGGTTCAATTGCTGCGCGATGCTCTGGCCAAGTTCCCCGAAATATCCGTCGAAGTCATGGGGATTATCAATGTGGGAGCTGGATCGCTTCTGGCCCTTTGTTGGGCCCAACCGGATACCCGAATTGGCCTGATAATGGGCAGCATTGCCAATTCCTGCTACGTGGAGCGGGTGGAAAAGTGCGAAATGTACAATGGTGAGGCGGATCGGCGCATAATGATCATCAATTCGGATTGGGCGCATTTCGGGGACAATGGACAACTGGATTTCGTGCGCAACGAATTCGATCGCCAGCTGGACAGCGAGTCTATAAATCCGGGATCCAGGACCTACGAGAAGTTCAGCGGAGCTCTCTGCATGGGGGAACTTGTTCGCATTATAATAGTTCGCCTGATGAGATCGGGAGCCATTTTCGCGGATGACCGACGTGATTATATAGGGATTCAGTGGAAATTGGATATGGTTTCGCTGATCGAAATAGTCTCGGACCCCCCAGGAGTCTATACGAAGGCCCAGGAGGTGATGGACAAGTTCCGGATTCGTCACTGCAAGGAGCGGGATCTGGCCGCCCTGAAATATATCTGCGATGCGGTCACCAATCGAGCTGCTATGTTCGTGGCCAGCGGTGTGTCGTGCCTCATAAATCGCATGCGACTGCCCAAAATCTCCATTGCCGTCGATGGTGGCATCTATCGCCTCCATCCGACCTTTGCCACGGTACTGAACAAGTACACCCACATGCTCACGGATCCCAGGAACAAATTCGAGTTCGTCATCACCCAGGACAGTTGCGGCGTGGGAGCGGCCATCATGGCTGGAATGGCTCATGCCAGCAAGTACAAAACGGACGCCAAGCTGTTCCTTATGGATTACTAGAAATAAATAGATCAATTTTGTATTTTTTACCATACCTAATTATTTGATTTATCCTATTGTCTGCAAAATAAAATTATTTTTATTGGTACTAAAAAATAAGAAGATCAAATGATCTCAATTTGAGAATTCGTACTTTTTTCTTTGAGAAGAAACGCTCTTGAAATAAAGACAAAAGTGCTCTCAAGGATGTGATTTACTTTGTATTTTATTATTTTAATTTATGATAAATGTCGCTTTAATAACTTTATTTAATGAGTATTTTTTGTGATGGAAATATTTGTCAATTAGAATTTTGATGCTATATTTATTATGTATAATTTATTTTTTAACCACAATTTGTAAACAACTAGTTGGCCTTACATTTTAACTTTTTCCATACTCGGCTCTGTTTTCTAAATTGCAGTCTAAATTCAGTTTCTAAATTTTTCTTTTGGAAGTGGGCCATTTCTGGCAGTCGGGGAAGGAAAATGCCGAGCCTTGTTAACACAGAAGTGGAGATGGCGGTTAAGGGCTTCCTGATCGACCAGGAGAAGATGGCCGAGGTGGTGGAGCGGATGACCAAGGAGCTGAAGATGGGCCTAGCCAAGGACACGCATCCGCGGGCGGTGATCAAGTGCTTCGTTACCTACGTGCAGGATCTGCCCACTGGGAAGGAGCGGGGAAAGTATTTGGCCTTGGATCTGGGTGGCTCCAATTTCCGGGTGCTCCTGGTGAACCTCGTAAACCAGGCGGATATACAGATCACCTCGAAGAGCTATAATTTCCCCAAGACCTTGATGACGGGGACGGGCAAGGCACTGTTTGACTTTCTGGCCGAGAGTCTGGCGGAATTTTGCAAGGAATTCGGCGTGGAGAACGACAATCTGCCACTGGGGTTCACCTTCTCGTTTCCCCTCCAGCAGCAAGGTCTTTCCAAGGGCATCCTGGTGGCCTGGACCAAGGGTTTTAACTGCGAAGGCGTGGTGGGCAAGAATGTTGTGAGTTAAGGGGGCTTTAGATAAAATGTATAGTGTATAGTTATTATATCGATAATCAAGGATATTCATTGCCATTTTTATTGTATCGATAAATTGTTACATTATTCTTGATACCTTATCGATTTTATCGATATATAGAGGCCATCGAGCTAAGGGTTGATACAAAAATCTATATTGTGATATCATATCTATATTCAAGGATATTCACATTCCATTATTTTAATATATCGATAAATTGGTACATTATTCCTGATACTTTATCGATTTTATCGATATATATTCGCAGGTGCAACTCCTCCAAGAGGCCATCGAGCGAAGGGGCGATATAAAAATTAATCCGGTGGCCGTGCTTAACGATACCGTGGGCACGCTAATGTCCTGCGCCTTCGTGCATCCCAATTGCCGCATTGGGTTGATTGTGGGCACCGGCAGTAATGCTTGCTACGTTGAGAAGACAGTCAATGCCGAGTGCTTCGAGGGATATCAGACCAGTCCCAAGCCGTCGATGATCATCAACTGCGAGTGGGGCGCCTTCGGGGATAACGGGGTCCTGGAGTTCGTGCGAACCTCCTACGACAAGGCGATCGACAAGGTAACTCCGAATCCCGGCAGGCAGACCTTCGAGAAGTTCATCTCGGGCATGTACATGGGTGAACTGGTGCGCCTGGTGGTCGTGGAGATGATTGCCAAGGGCGTGATGTTCGTGGGAGACAGTTCCCAAAGGATTTCGCAGCGGTGGAGCTTCAAGAGCTCGTATATCTCGGATATCGAAAGCGATGCACCGGGGGAATATCGTTCCTGCAACAAGGTCCTCAACGAACTGGGCATGATCGGCAACCAGGAATCGGACAAGGAGGCTCTGCGCTTCATCTGCGAGGCGGTCTCCTCGAGATCCGCAAAGATGTGTGCCTGCGGTCTGGTCACGATTATCAACAAGATGAACATCAACGAGGTGGTCATCGGAATAGACGGCAGTGTGTATCGCTTCCATCCCAAGTACCACGATATGCTGCAGTTCCACATGCGGAAGCTCCTCAAGCCGGGCGTCAAGTTCGAACTGGTGGTCTCGGAGGACGGATCCGGCAGAGGAGCGGCTTTAGTGGCCGCCACCGCTGTGCAGAGCAAGAACAAAATGTAAATTATAACACTAAATTCAGCATATTTCAATAACTAATAAACTTTTATTAAATTGATAATAAAATGACAAATCAAGGCGAAATTTAAATTTAATTCTTTTAATTAAATTCTTTGAAAATTCTCTGATAAAGAGTATAACAAAAAAGTACTTAAAAAACAAACAAACATATTGAAATTATATAAAAAAGTTGTTATGCATTAAAGAAATTTTGCTTAAGAATGTTTATTCTTTTTGAAATTTAAATATCCCGCCCTTTCCGTTAGCAGTCTGGCATCTCTCTCAAAAAATACCAGATAACGTAACATGGTCATACTAAAAGTGACGCAGCGAATGGTTCGTGTCTCGGCTAACCGAATACTGTCATACTAAAAATGACGCATCGAGTGGTTCGCGTCTCGGCTAACCCTGCGTCACTTTTAGTGAGACCATGTAACTGTAACATCAGAGCTGCCAGACTGTTTACGGAATTCAGCGATTGCCACATCTGGTAGCACTGCCCGATTTGCAAACATTTATCTTTCAACCAATTTAGGGGAATTTAAGGCAATTAGAGGATTCCTGCGAGCTTTGCCAGGCCAACTGAGGTTACTTCGAGCCAAGACAAACAGGTAGGTCACGCAGCAGGCCTTGCCTTACAGAACAAACCCCAGGAAACACCCACATTTGGGGCTGCTGGAAAAGGCAAGGCCAGCTGTCCATTTGGGATTGGGACACTCTGTGCTCCAAAATCTCGCGATGATTGCCCTCAACCAAATGCACCGAGTGCTGCAGAGCGAGGCCATTAATACGCTAATCCGCCTTTTCAGCGACAAAATGTCCCAAGGCGGTGGCGCTACTCCGGCGGGCGTGAATCCCACGGCGCTCCAGGCAAGCGGAGGGGGCGTGGTCTTCAGCAAGGTCTTCATCCAGCGGGATTACAGCGAAGGAACCTCGGTGAAGTTCCACACGCGACTGCCCACCGAACTGGAGGGCATGGTGAGTATATCTATCTGATATATAGGATATTATAATGATATATCCCTAATCTTATGCAGATTGAACGTCACGTCTTTGAGGCCACCATCAACAGGCTAAACGAATTCTACGCGGAGGCGGAGGAGGGCTCCTGCGGCACCTACTGCGAGGGATGCATCGGCTGCATCACCGCCTACTTGATCTACATGTGCTCCGAAACGCACTACGAAAAGGTGCGTCATTCTGGCGGAGATTAGCAGGATCAGGGGTGGAAATCATAGCACTAGAAGCACTAAAAGCTGAGATATATATTATAGGTTGCCTAGTTTAACAGGCTAGTTGGCAAATTTAGGTCACTGCTTATAAAGATTCCTTTTCTTTCTGCTTTTTTTGTACTTTTTTAAAGGCTTTTATTGAAGTAAATGTCAGTTTTATAAAGGTTTCTTAAGCTAAAAAGAAATAATATCACTTTCTAAAGCAACTACGCTAAGTACAGTACTGTACCTCTTTTAGAAAACTAGTTTCTTAATTTAGGTTTTCATATTAGAACCATATAGCTATGCTATGTAGCTACCTTTTTGTGATTATAGGAGGCCCAATTTAACAGGCTAGTTAGCAAGTTTAGGTCACTGCTTATGAGGATTCCCTTTTCTTTCTGCTTTTTTTGTACTTTTTGAAGACCCATTTTAAAATAAATGTCAGTTTTATAAAGGTTCCTTAAGTTAATAAGAAATAATATCACTTTCTAAGGGAAATATGCCAACTATAATACTGTGCCTCTTTTAAAAATCTAGTTTCATAATTTAGGTTTTCATACAACACCGTAATATCCAGTGCTATTGATTTCACCACCACCTGTTTAAAACTACCACCCCTATAGTAATGTTCTTACCACCCCAAAACAGACCCTTCGCAAGATATCCAAATTTGTGGCTTCCCAAAACGAACGCATTTACAACGCCAAGGGCCTGCAGCTGATCGATCCGACTTATCGGGGACTCCGCGTCATAGAGATTACAATATTCGATCGTCCGGGGCGGACGTGACTTCCGCTTTCCCATTCGGCCAACGAGTTTTTCATGTGAGATCAGCCAGAAGGAGGAGAGTCCGTTTCAGCAATTATCAAGCAAAAGTCAGCGCCATTGTGTGTGTTTCCAAAAAATATATTAAAATCAATACAAAGCTGTGTGGGATCAGCTAAAGCTTTATAACCTATAACCATATGTGTGAGTAGCTCAGTTATCTATTAATTCGAATAACTAAATAATATCCTTATTCCCACAGCTTGGCAGAGCAGCGACTTAGTCACGGGTGTGCTGGGAGACAGCCTCCGCTGCAGCCACATACGACATGCTAGATTAGCCGTTAATGATTAGCCAAGGCAGTGTGCGGCCAGTTAGTTAGTATTTATGCATTAGCAGGCATAGCAAGTAAGTGAAAAGCTACCGAAACTGCATTTTGAGCCGAAGCCAGCATCAACATATACACACATTCGCATATGTTACCATTGTTCTACTTATCAGACCGAAAGGCCAGCGAGAATTGATTGTTTTGTAATCTAAAAAAAGGAAAAGAAATAGAAATTGTATACATATTGTTTGTAGTGGTTACTAACGATTCGATTGTCTAGAGTTTTAGGTTTTAATTAACATACACATAAACACATAGTTCAAGCTTAATCAGACAAAGCATACGCATAACGTTTTCTATACAAAACTCTTACCGATTTCAACCAGCGCCAAATGAACTTACACATAAACAAAGTGGAGAATTGTTCGATTTTTAATATAAATCCGCAACATTGATTAACATAGTTATGTATCTTATAAGGAAAAATATATATTGCCGTCATTTAAAAGCGCCTACAACTGTTTTCCTGCGGTGGGTAAACATCAAATGAGAAGCAAACACCCAAAAAAAACAATGTGTACTTTGCAAATTTTGTTTTGCCATTTTTTATTGTATTCCATTGTTTACCTTTCATCTCTGGCTGTTTTTAATTGTCTGGCTTAGGGGACTCATGGATATATAAAGGCCTCCGAAGGTCTGGGGAATACAGTCACTATTGTCTCAAAGCAGAACAATGAAGCTAGCAACGTATCTCTTGGCCCTCGTCCTGTTCGCCGGATTCTTCCTGCTCCAGCCTTCCTCGGCCCAGACGAACTCCACCGATACGACCAATAGCACGACTACGGCAGCCACCACGACCACGACCACCACTGCCGAGCCCACAACTGTTCACAGGAAGCGTGTCACGATCTCGAACCTTAACTACTCTAACGTTCGCAGGATTCACGTGAATAAAAAATCTGGACTTTTGAAAAAGAAATCTGGAAGTCTGAAAAAGAAAACTGGATAAATTAAACGCAGGTTTATGGAAAACTTTTGGCAATGAAAAATAAATATATGTAAATATATCTAAAAAAAAAAGAACCAATTTTTTTTTTTTTTTTTTAAAAAATAAATTGTTTGTTTTTTTTTTGTTTTTTTTTTTTTTTTTTTTTTTTTTTTTTTTTTTTTTTTTTTTTTTATTAAAAAATAAATAAAATTTTTTTTTTTTATTATTTAATAATTTTTTTTTTTTTTTTTTTTTTTGGGTTTTTTTATTTTGTGTGGTGGGGTGGGGGGTGCTTATTTATTTTTTTTAATAAAAAAAAAAGGGTTTGGGGAAATTTTTTTTGGTTTAGTTTTAAAATTAAAAGATTAGTTTGAAAAAAAAGGGAAAGAAGGAAAAAAGGAGATGGGTTTATTAATTTTGGTTTTTTTTTGGTTTAAAAAAATTTTTTTTTTTTTGGGGGGGGAAAATTTCCCCTTCTTTGTGTTAAAAATTTTTGATTAAATTTATATCCCCCCTAAAAGGGTAAAAAAACTATTGATTGTTTTAAGAAGGTTATGGAACGTATAGAACTCGTCTAGTTTAGGAAACAATTTAGCTTTCTTTAGATCTAGTTTTGTTTGCTTCAGTTAAAGCGGCGTTTTGTCAGTTCAAGACCAAGGTTTTCTGTTCTTTTGACTCACTTTTAATGAAGGTGAATTATACACTTGAATTTCGTTCTAAGCTAGTTATTATGAGTTATTCCATTCAAGTTCAAAATATGTTTTTATTCCAAACGAGGCAACAAAAATAATCTACTCAGCGAACACCTTTGGCTTTTATTGGTTCGCTGTAAGCAGCCTTCCGACTAAAATATTTAAATATTTAAAAGTTCTTAAGGGTTATTGTATCATATTTATCCAGAGACGTTATATTTTCGCAACACGCCTAATAATATACCACATTTCTAAGATTTGCTATTTGTATATTTCTCTATATATTTTTAAAGCAACAAAATTCATACGGTCTTTGCTCTCTATTAGACTACACCAGCTCAACTCTGCGGATTTTCATATTCCTTCGACGCACCAAAAAAACAAAAGATATAAGATTAAATAATAGGTTCTTGTCCAGGTTCCGTGGTTCCAATGGTGCGGGCCTTCCGATTCCGATTCCGTCAACGTATTCGGATCTAATCCCATCTTTACTTGCCCGCATCGTTCATGTTCTTGGGCAGACTGAGCAGCGAGTTGATGAGCTCCGAGTTGCGTTTCCGGATGGGAATGGATGGGCCCAAGGAGTTCTCCAGGATCAGGGGATAGCGGCATAGAGTGGCCACCTGGCCGGGACTAAACTGGCCCACATTGTTGAACCAGTCGAGCAGATCCCGGTTGTACTCCTTGCGCACATAGCGCTCCTCATCCGGCAGGGCCATGGCTCCGGAGGATCCCCAGCGGGCGGAAAGGGCCAGGAGCACGAGGACGACGATGTAGGTGAGGCGAGCCATTTGCCTGAGGAGCTGGAGCTGCGAGGAAGAACACTGGATCACGGGACACCTGCAGCAGGAGACTTGCGAATGAACATTGGCTGGAATATCCTCGACTTATATAGGAACTCGGGACTAGATAAGCACCAGCGGGAGACCGCACAACCACGCAACCCGAAAGCGTCAGTATCGGTGTCAATTGCAGGACCAATACATGTCATCCGCAGTCCTCGATGATGGTCCTTCGAGCCAGGCAAATACGGAGTCAACTTGGATCCACGCAAATATTTGATTATGCAGTGTTTTATGTGCCAACATGCAGCCACGCAGGAACCAAATCCCATTCCGGGTCCAGGAGATATTTGTTCGGGAAGGGAGCTTATTGGCGACACTACGGGGCACTCAGAAAAAATTAGATAATGAATTAATAAATAACAAAAACTAATAATTAAATAAACAATGTTTTGCAAAATTAAATAAAAAACTGGTTGTTTTTATAAATTAAAAAAATTTCTTTGTGATTTTCTACCATTTATAAATATTTCTAGCAGATGTAAAGTAATGAGACTTAAATGTAATAATTATTTTTCAAAAACAAATTTAAAAATTATGGTAAATGTTATCTTTTAAAAAATTAAAAATAACTAAATAACTTATATATAAATTCAATACAATATTTCACAAACAAACGAAGTCCACTAATTTGCCACTCAATCAGAAAGTAACGTTTTTTTCTCTCAGTGTAATGTATGATTAATTTTAGAACGAGGGTCGTAAAAATAAAAGCTTGTGTTTAATATCTAATTTAATAGCTAACGGCGGATGTTGGGCCATTCGGCGAAATTCCAGCTTGTTCCTTTGTTTAATCACCAAACTGTGTAAATATGGCCAAAAAAATTTTGCGCAGACGTAATTGGCGAGAACATAATGCATATATTTGCCAAGCAAATCCAGCAATTGTCTTGGCCAGATATAAAACTCCCAGCGGGTGAAGTTGGAATCAACAGAGCAACAGCAACACACAGCATCACAAGATGAAGGCAGGACGATTGGCACTGGGCTTCCTGGCGATAAGCCTTTGCATTTGGCTAACCAACGGGGCCTCTTCGACCACCAGCACGGAGTCATCGACGAGCACGACCACAACCACCGCGTCCAGTGACACCACTTCGACGACGACGGCCTCCACCACAACCACCACCACCACGTCCTCTTCGACCTCGAAGAAACATCGCAAGAGATTCACGATCTCGAACCTCAAGTACTCGATAAAGCGCAAGATCAAGGTCAACAGGAATAGCACCTCCAGTTCCAAGAGCAAGAGCAAAAAGAGGAGCAAGTCCTCCAGACGCGCCAATGTCCGCCGAATCAATAGGTTGCTCAGACGCCGCAATCAGGGATAAATTTCTATTCCAAATCCTATTAATGAAAGCAATAAAATACATTTTTTGATAAAAATATAAACCTAAATTTAAATTTTTTAAATAATTTAGAGGGTAAGTTGTTGGGGAAAAAAATACGGCTTTTCTAAACATGATACTTTAAAGCCAAACAAACCTTCAAAAATTAAAAAAAATTTTAGGGTTGCTGTTTTAAAGAAATAAATCTTAATTTTATATTTAAAGTTATCTTAGCTAATATTTCATACCCATAAAAATGAGAAATAAAAATTACATTACGTTTAATAAAATATAAGTAGTTGGTACTATGATAATGTAAAACCCCTAATTCTAGAGATTTTGAAGGTTTCTTAGTAAATGACTACATTTAACATAATAAGTAATTGTTTGATATTTAGCCCTAAGCTTAGACCATTATTTTTTAAAATTCCTTTGTCTAAATCAACAGGTGGCCCCCGTCTAGCATGGCTTTGCGCAGTCAGACCACAACCACATCATATCATCCTTCATTTAGCCCTGTTCAATGACTTCACGTGCGGCGAAAACATTGACCCAAGTTTTTGCCCACATAAACGTAAACATCGGCTATATCTTGGCGGGGTGGTTGCTTTTACGATGACTATAACTTTCCTTGCAGCTACATTACCACGATTTTGATGGCCAAGGCTCGGCGTCGTTCACTCCCGCGATTTGTTTGCACTGCATTTGTGACCGCCGACCAGACCCAAAATCCGGTGGGTGTTCCACATCGGACTCTTCGTTTATCGTCCACCGACCGTCCACCGTTGGCTGTCTTAAAAGTCAGCTGAAGCATTTAACGGTCGTGTGATTTCTAGGTACACATAAGTATAACACGCATGGGTTCGATTTCGTTTGGGATGTCATTACCAGGAGCGTTTCAGTTGGAAGAAATAGAGAAATACCAGAAAGATATCTTGAAGAATTCCAGAAAATCTGTAAGAATATTTAAGTATCAGCAAGCTAAAGATCACAGGTTCAAGAGTGTTCTTGTGCATTAAAATTAACATGAAAAATACAAAATATTTTATTTTGAAACAAGAAGGTAAACTTTTCACAATTATTAATTTTATTTAAAATCTTTCTAAAATAAATAAATAATGTATTACTTTAAAGATTTAAATACATTTAACTGCTTAACATTTTTTTTATTATAATGTAATATATTTAGTTTTTTAATATTTATATTAATCTGAAACCTGAGTTTCTAGACCCCCAGTTCGTTCCCGGTCAAAACGAAGATGATTCGCCCTGAACGCACACACAGGACCCAGGGACATCGGGACAGGGGGTCTGCGGCCATTCACCAATTACGCGCCATTCGCTGCGGTGTCCTTAATTTCTTAAAAAGCGTTTAAACATCTAATGAAAGCATTTGGGGCCCAGCGATTTCTGCTCTGTCGCTGGACTCAGTTGCGTTTGCCTTTTCGCCGTGAGCGGTTCGGTTCGGTTTTGTTTGGTCCTTGGTCCTTTGGTCCTTGGTTGTCGAGCTGCAGGGAGCGACCATCGCAGGATTATGTCATTGCAGCCATGGCCAAGATAATCTCCACGATCAAGGCCATCCTCACGAGGATCATCTTCAGTGCGCACAGTTTGCTGGCCATTTGGCAGGTGGTCGCCTTGAAGAGTGATATCATATACTGGGCACTATGTGGACCACTGTTGCTGCTCCTCCTCGAGGGCATCTTCACCATCATGATCAAGAAGACCCAAGAGTGGCGCTGGTAAGGCTTCGATCCTCGGGAGATCTTGCAAACTCTGATCTGATTTATCTGGCCAAACGAAATGTAAACAACAATCAGCCGACGTTGACGTCATGCCGCGGTCTTTGATTTTCAATTAAAAGTGAAATCATGTGTTTAATGTGTGGCTAACCTTACCACCCACTCCTAGTAAAACCACCAACTCGGCGGCCACACCCCCACACTTAGAAAAAAATAGTAACCAAAAAAAAAAAAAAGGGTAAAACGGAAATTTTTATTAACAAAAAAAGCGTTTTTTAAGAATTTAACAAAGTGGTTTCAAAGATAACGTTTCGAAGGACTTAAAACTAAGATAACAATTGCTTACCATTGAAATAATATTACAATTTTAATACTTTTTAAGAATCTTATCTGATTCAAAAATAAATACCCTCAATAGAAATTACAAGGAAATAAAAAAAAAAAAAACAAAAGAAATATTTTATTTTATTTTTATACAAATTTGTAACCAGTTTTTATAAAAAAGGAAACAAAGAGTTTGTATTTTATTTTAAAATTGAGTTAAAATAGCGTTGAAATGTAGACACATGATTTACTATCTTTGTTCGCAGATTATTTTACCATAAGAGCTAAAAAAATATTCCACAATAAAATTGTGTTTTAATAGAGTGAATATTTAGAGGCAGATATTAAATCTGTGAACTAAATTTTGAGGTGTTCTATTTGGATTTCAACGTTAAGTGTAAGATGTCCACCCCACTTTTTATAATAGTAAAAACTTTAATGGAATTTCTTGGGGAGCGGGTGGGTTTTTGGATGGAGGAGGAGTGGTCTTTCGATTCTTGTTTACCTTTCGTCGCATCACTCAGACTTGTTGTTTGTTTTGACTGTTCGGGTCGTGCCACCTCATTTGTGTCCTTTTTTTGTCCCGCAGGTTCTGCCCCTCGGTGTTCCTCTATCTGAGCAGCATTGTGCCGGCTATTTGGCTCCTGGAACTGGACAAGGTGGCCAAGCGAGTGAGCAACATGACTGCGACCAACTCGAGTGTCTACAGTCCGAGCAACTACAGCATTCCCGGAGGAGGACTAGGAAATACCACTGGATTCGGGATCATTACCAACAGCAGTGTTCCCCCGGTGGCCACGCTGCTGGGACAGGCCGGGGTCACCCTCTCGGTGACCCCGGACACGTGGACAACCCTCATCGAGCAGTTTCTCATGCTCATCCTGATCGTGGGTCGCTGGCTGCTGCCCAAGGGAGATCTTACCAGGGATCAGCTGAGTCAATTGCTACTGGTCTACATTGGCACGGCGGCGGATATCATTGAGTTCTTCGATTCCTACAAGGATGACTCGATAGCTAGGATCGGCTTTCTGGTGTACCTAACCCTGGGCATTTGGTCCTGGAGCCTCATGCAGTTCACCATTGTGCTGTCCGCCACTCGGGGAAGACGACCAAGGGGCAGTGGATCGCATCACAAGGAAGAGTGAGTAAAAAAGGGGAAAATATTGATTTTAAATTAAGAATTCTTTCGGAATTATTTTACCACTTAGACATACAGACTGCTGCCAAAACTGCTGCTGTGGCATTGATGTTTGGGGCATTGTACTCAACGTGATCCTGCAGGATGCCCCCTTTCTCACCTTTCGTTTACTGATTATTTTCCAGTATAAAATCATTAACTACATGAATGTCTTCTTCACCTGTAAGTTTTAAATGGACAATTGAATGTTCCTATTAATCTGAATGCTTTTTATTTTCAGGCAAAAACTCTTTGGTTATTATCCTTCAACTATATCGTCTTTATGTGGTCAATGCCGAGTTCTGGAAGAATCGTCGGGAGAGTCGGATGGCCAAGGCACGTCAGTTTCAATCCCGTCGAAAGGTTCAGGATGCCGACCAAAATAGCATTTACATGATATCAAATGAACGAGGGGGCGATGTCAAAAAGAAAATCAAAAAGTGAGTTAGCACGGGAAATAATTTTAGGAATTTAGGAATTTTTCCCATCGAAACTTGTTTATCAAAAATACCGAAAATATTTACAATTTAAAAAAAATAATTTATTGTATTTATAAATAAATTTTCGTATACTTTTAGGGCCAAGGACAAGGAGTATGTGGAGCAGGAGGCGGTGTACAGCAAAAAGAAGAAGGACAAAAAGGACAAGTGGGTCTCACATGATTTATTTTCTTTTTTCAATATGAATTTTTAAAAATTCCAGGAAGAAGCGCAAGCGCAAAGGACACTGGCTATTCCACGGCCAGTTCGCAGAACCTCTACTCCACCAAGGCGAGTGGCACGGATAAGGAATCCCGTCGGAAGGATAAGAAGGCCAAGAAATCGAAGCGAACCTGCAGCAGTTCCCCCAGCGATTGCGACTTGGCCAAGAAGCAGAAGCGCGGCAAGAACGGGGATAAAAACGATAAGAAGTAGGTAATACGGCGGGACTCAACTAGTTATCCCTTGATTAAATCGATAATATCCCCCTAGGAAATCCCGCAAAATTGAGGCAGTTGTTGAGGAGTCGAGCAGCTCAAGTAGCAGCAGCTCGGACTCCAGTAACTCCACTTTGCCAAGTTACGAGGTTATTGACGAGAAGAAGGCGCGCAGGAGGAAGCACCGCGGAAGTAGCAGCGACACCAGTTCCGGGGACAGCAGCTCCTCCAGCTCCTCATCTTCCAGCTCGGACTCGTCGTGAAGAAGGCACTTTTTTGGGATTAACGCCAGACGTTAGGGAATCTGTTTTTTTGGCCGTCACTCGGGTGACTCAGCCATCCTGCTCCAGGAGAGCAGATCTTTTGAAAGACCCTGCAAGAGCAGGTCGAAATTTTTATTATTAGCACATCGAGGCCTAATCATGAAAATATCAAAAGCTTACAATTTTAACCTTAAATGATGGGGGATAAGAGAAGTTTAAATGAGTTGGATGAAATATTTTAAAAAATTTAAAATGAATTCAAAAGAAGAAGGGTCAGATTTCGTCTACTCAAGCGAGTTTATTTCAGAATTTTAACTTAAGTTTATGAGCTTAGAATCTTATATTTATCACATAGAATGAACAATATAAAGATGAACAATATAAGAACAATATAAATAGGATTTTTAAGATTAAGACCAAAACTAAACTGAATTTTTCCGAGTTACTTTGTTATTTTGAAAATGTATCTTAAAATATAATTTACCAGTTCATTGTGGCGCATACAGAATTAGCTAAACATAATCCCCAAATAACTTAGCTTCCAAATAACTTTGCTTTTGATATTTCCATGGTTAGAGCTCGATATATTTTGATATATTTGTATAAACTAATCTATGATATATTTGAATGGATAATAAAAGCGCGGGCGGCCAGGCGATAAGTTGGCAGTTCCGTCTTGAAAATAATGGAGCTCTTTGGGGCTCTCTTTACAGAGGTTTCTCTTGGGTCTCTTGGATTTCAACGGGGGGCTCTCTTTGCCCCACGAAAAGCTTAGCAACGCGAACAGCTGCTAAACTTTTGTTGACACACAGATAGCTGTGATATTTCATGGGTGTGTGTGAGGGGGTGGGAGTGAGTGGGGGATGGGGGTCTTCTACACTGTCTCTTGGAGATTTCTCGTGAGCTTGTATTTTTGTAATAGCACAATAGTTGCTGCCGAGCGTCCAAACGCTGCGGACGCGTTTTCCGCTTCGTTTTTTTCGTCGGATTTAAATTTTTACTCGCTTACCGCCGAGAGCTTTGTTGTTGTCGAGTGTGTAAGTTCAAGAGTGTGATTGCGGGTGTGTGCGTGTGTGTGAATGAGCGTGCTTTGTCGGATCCACCACATATATATATATTCTTTGATATATATAAACGTACGATAAATGCCTATTAAGAAAAGTTCTTCAAAAGGAACTCTTCAGTATATCGTCAAGTGATGTCTTTCAAAGTCCATAAACTACCCCCTCTCTATACAATAAACACCCCTACAATCAAGAACAACAACAACAAATAACAGCCCCCCAAAAACTTTATTAACTATTCAGAAGACAAGCGAAAAAAAGTTGCCAAGCCGATTAAAATTTAAGCGATTATAATGGAGCAGGTGTGAATTTTTGTGTTTTTTTGCTTTGTGAATAATTCAATTAATACTTGTTACGAGGTTGACAAATGTTTGGCGAATGGATTCATCACAGATACAGAGTGCAAATTCCCTCGACAAATTGGCTCATCGTGGTATCGTACACCCCACACACGAACCATATACGGTGTATATATATATAGGGGGTGGACTGGGAACTGGACTGGAGAATCACGAACTCAAAACACGTTCGCGGCCTTAAAGTTCAGAAATTATAGCTCCTTGGTCGGTTCATTTCGTTTTCATTTTCATTTCATTTACTTCTTCGGAGGCATTTTTTACCTGGGCACGCGTGCTGAAGGTTAAGGTTTCCAGTCTTCGAATTACAACTCCCACGCCCCCTTGGCCCCCAAACCCCCTTGGGCCCCGCCCACCACGTGTTGTTTTGTTTTCGCTTACTGTTGTTTTGCGTTTCAGCCACCTTAACCACGGTTAACCCATGTAATTTTACCACCGCGAGCCACAGCAGCTTTTGTCCGAGAATTATCCCGCTCTTCGGAAGGGAATCTTTTGAGAAAATGCTGCTGCTCTCCGCACTCATTTTGCCGGTTTTCATCGGAGAGTCTGAGTGTGAGCGAGTGTGGAAAAACCAGCGGAGCGAGAGCTCAGTTACAGAGAGAAAAACCATGGGAAACTCATTTGCATACGGTGGTTTATTGGTTATTTCATAATACCGATAGGAGTGATTATTGTAGAATATTTTCAACAATTTATATATTTTTGAGGATTCTTTTAAAGAACAGATTCAAATTTATTACATTTATTTTGCATACAATCGCAGCTAACAATGGAGTCTTAATCTACTTAAATATGACAAAGAGTTATTTTTGTTCCTTTTGTATTTTTAATGAAAATTAAATTCCAAAAATGTTTTTTGCTATGTAAAATCGTATGATATTTTATCAGCATCTACAGCCACATATCTATTTTTGTCACACCTGTCCGGCATTTTCCTTACATAATTAATAATAAGATTAACATACATATTCAATTTAGGAGGTCCACACGACTGAATCATCTGAATATACCGTTGCTATGCCACAAAAAGAACCAGTTTAAATACGAAAATCATAAGACATTTTCCAGCTATTTTCCCGCCGTGTAATAATTTATATTTTTGTTTGTTTGCCTTTCATGTTGGGCGACCAAAGTCCAAAGCTGACCGGCGACATCTGTTGCCAAGGCTTAGAAAGCAAAGCAATCCATTGCAGGATAGTAATTAATCTCTAGCGCGTCGTTCAATCCACTCGGGAAAACAGACTAATTAGCAAAGAGAATGGCTTGTCAAAGGCCGCAAAACAAGCCAATATAGCCACCCCCTCAAGGTTATTCGGGGTCAGGGTTCCTCATCAACAGTACAGTTCCTCATCGTCATCGGCATGGTTATAGTCACAAGCATCACCTGACACACAGAACCTTTTCAGTATGGCCTGATCCATGCTCTGCAGATACAGATACAAATACATATATATCTCGGCAGATATACATAATCTAAATGAATTGCCACTGGCTTTGCATAACTCGTTTTCGAGCTCTGGTTGTCAAACAACTTGTATGGAAATTATACAAATGTATTTCCAAAAAGTGAAAATGATGTGCAGCTGCCTTTGGCTGGGCGGGAAATGATTATGGTTTCAATTGTTTACCGAAATAAGTTGACACTCTGATTAGTTATTACAAACAAAGCGCCGGATAATGAAAGTGTCAGATACAGATAAGAAATATCAAACCAAACGAGTCTTTATTCTCTTTTGTTGCTTATATACTATAAATATAATTTATGTGCTCTTGCGGAAGACAAAAGGATAAACTGGTCATGATTTCCCGTTGTTTTCTTCTGACCCACTTAAGAAACGGCCTTCCGCAGTTCAATGCTTATCTGTCAGTGACCCATTAATGGTTTTTCATAATTAAACAAAATAATTATCGCTGAATGCTGCCGTTTCCTTGCTACTGACCTTTATTTTGGGGCCCACAGCTGTTTTGCTAGCCAGTTTATTGGGCTTTTGACGTTTAATTGCCGTGTATAAGTTGAATCGAAATGGAAATTCCTATCTTATCGCTGCGAATAATTCTTGAACCTGAAATGTGTGCTTTTCTGATTAACGCTGCAAATCAATTGTGATGGTTAATTTCATGGGTGAAAGGCGGCCAGTTATCCATATTTTAATTTACGCATTTAAATGGGGAACCTTATATAACAGCAATGACATAATCGTGAACCAATTCAATGGTATTGTATTGTTTTGTGATGTTTGTTCCAGTTTATTGCACACTTTACACAATAATAGAGAGAGGACAAACAGGTGAATTACTGGACCATTCGAGCATGCAATCTCCGTCACTAAATTCGCCAGTTCACGTGGCTGCAACATGCGACAAATTAATTAGCATGCCGAACGCCTTGCGTGCCATGTTGGGCATTCTGCCCGCCCAGCACAACATTGGAACGTAACTTGGGCAAATCCAACCCGATTATTATGCATAATAACGGCCAATTTCCAGCTGACAAATGTGCACACGCTTAGCAGCTTGTTGGCCAGCAATTATGCATCATAGATTGCATTTCGATTCAGTAAACAGTGAACAGGGAACACACACCCATGCGATAATAAACGATAATTGCAAATTTAGGTCTCCATTACAAAACCCTTCTCCTTTGGGTGCCTTTTGTTGACAATCTCGTCTCGGCACTCGTGTGCATCGAGTTTCGATAAAGAGCAGCAAACAAAAGGCAGTGCGACTGCATTTGGTACACTGCGATACGCCGATACACCGATAAAGGCGGCTGGCCAAAGTCCACGCGGCGAATGAGTAACCAAGTCGGCAGCAAAGTTCGAATTAAGCATACGCCCAGTTGGTGGAACCACCGATCGAGAGAAGCGCTGCTCGGCGCACAAGCATGACCACCTCTCCCCATTTCAATATACATATATTACACTTTGCATTTGCAATTCTTGTCGATTGAAATTAGATAAGAAGTCGGTTTTTCTATTGCCGAGCGACGTTGATTTAATTCAGCCATGGGAAATGTTTTTGACAAGGATTTCTACGCAGAAAAAAACCGAAATTTACAGAGAGAAATTTTTAATAAATTCCAAGATAAAGTTTTTCTATGGGTAATAAACTATATAAACAAAAAAATTTTTTTTTTTTTTTTTTTTTTTTTTTTTTTTTTTTTAAAAACCTTTTTTGGTGGTGTTTTTTTTTTTAAAAAAGAAGAAAGGTCTTATGAAAGCCATAAAGTTGTAATTTTAATTTTTGAAGGTATATAATTTAAAATAACAATTAAATGGCTTTCATAGAACGGCAAGGATATAATAATACATACAAACAAGCATACAAAGTCATTAAAATGTGTTTAGCCTAAAATAAATAATATATATCTATGAATAGATATCATATAAAATAGATATCACACTGAGTGAAGAGTGCATTTAAAATGCATTTAATATATTCATTTTGCATTATCAGACCATAAAGATCTTCATTTTTTCCGTGCACAGCCTACTGAATATATTTACCACACATATACCCATGGCATAACAATAGCTGGGCACTTGATTGAGTTTATCTGGGCATTAGCATTTTATAGGCACCATAAAGCATACTAAGTGCTGTCTGTCAAAAGAGTTCGCAACCCCCTTCAATTGGTTACGGGAAAATAAATAAATTCGCATAAGATAAGGATGGTCGGGGGCCATCCAATTAATTTAGGAAAATTTCCATAAAATCAATTTGGCTGGCTAATCCATAAGACAAGATGGCTATCATCAAGCCCCTTGGCATTTAGATAAGGCAACTTTCCTGCTCTCCAATTAGTTAGGGGAACGCAAACAACTCTTTCGTGGGGAAATCGACAAGTCGCACTTAATGAAACAATGAACGATAAGGAACGATGTGTGCCAAATGAATTGAACTTTCCGTTGTCTCTTCAATTTGTCGAAAGGCAGACAGAATTGCTGCTCCGTCGGCCACTTCAGGCAAAAGTATTTGCCTCAATTTCACTACAGCAAGTGCCCGGTACTTTAGGGGCGGGTATTGAATATATGCTATATGGGGTGTATATGTTATAACCGCAGAAAACAGGCCTCGCCAATTCGTATCGTCAAGGTGCCGTTCCAGTCGGTCTGAGATTTCCACAGCGAGCGGTTTGCATTTCTCCGGTCTTCAATCTATACAATCTTGTACATCAAGTGTAAGTCGAGTGGGTGTGCGGTTGACAGTACATAACTGTCATTCTAACTTGTTGAGTTTCATAATATACACCGCACAAAAGATGTTATTGCAATTTCGCATGACGGACAGCCAGTCAACCACCGTGCCTGTCGGTTTTGCATATATTGCAGCATATTGCGGCATTTTCTCGCTATAAATAGCTGCAAGCACAAAAACACAAAGCGATGAGAATATTTTCCTTGTAGAGCCGAGAAAAGCGACCCTCAACTTGAACCTTTTGCCTGGGCCCGTCATAACCTGAGGGCACATTTTCCGCGGCGCACGTCACTGTCATTATGCGGCAGTACAGTATGTAGGTATATCTGACATTTGTTGCTCTCGCATCTAATTGGATTGCAGCGGCAGGGGAGCGTTCGTTATAAATACCTTTGTTTCACGGATGGCAGTAACATTTTGTGAGCTAAATTGAATGGTGCAACCATGTTGTTGCGGTCAGAAAGCAATTAACCCTTAAATTAGGAAGTTGGTTATGCCCAGAAAGGGTACCTAATTAGTTTTAGTAACTCGTTTTGTACTATCTGTATTTGTTAATATTTTTGTATTAAAGAACAAATTTTTTTGTAGAGGTATTCTTAAGTAAATAAATATTTTTGAGTATATTTATTCAGGAAAATGTTTTATCTCTCTTTATTTCCGCGATATAATTTAAATCTAATACGAATTTTCACTGAGCAGCGGAGTAATATTTTCTTTTATTTTCATATTTCTGTTCTCCGTTAATTTTTTTTACAAAAGTCTTTGGTTCTTGCAAGCAAACTGCGTTTGTCCTTCGTGCTGTAACTATTATTACACCACGTCCACGTGTCGTATAAGTAATTTACTGCAGGGCAGCGACAAGTGAATGCGTTTATTTTTAGCCAGTTTGTTTTCCTTGAAGTGCTGTTAGTAGAGAGAGCAGGAAACCGAGAGGCGGAGAACTGCACTTGACCGAATTGTTTTTAGCCCAGTGACCACCATTGACATTGATGCATTGCATTGCTGGTGTTTTCCTCCTCAGTGGCTAGCCTATGATTAACACTGAATTCTACGATTTCTACAATTTTGCAGATAGAACTGCCAGCAACATGTTGAATGCGAATTAATTGGCCCACAGCCAGTCCTTCGAAAGCAGCAGCAGCAGCAGGAAAAAACACAAGAGCAGGCAGCTTGGGAAATGTTTGCCAGCGCTTCTGAGCCTGCCCAAGAATCGTTTGCCTGCAATGGCAATCTCAATCCCTCCGTGGACGAAGCTGATGCCGCAGAAATCAAGAACCTGAAGAACAATAACCAAAGCGAAAACAGAAGCCCCAGTTTTGTAGGAGGCGGCTCACCGCTGCAGGAAATCGATGAGCATTACGTCTGCGACATTGCCATGATGCGAATCGGCGGGGAGGAGGTGCTCCCAGTGACACACAATGCTCCGGTGGATGATGATGACTCACTGGCCGGCCACAATGAAAGTACAAGTACAAACAATGAGAACGAGGTGGAGATCGATCGCCAGGAGGAGGAACAGGCGGTCAGCGACCTGGTGCGATCGAGCAGTGCAGGAGCTCTCATGGAGGCGTAAGTTGTGATAAAATTCTCATAAAAATCTAGAAATAATCCAAATAAATCCCTCTCTAGTGACAGCAAAAATGGCGGAAGCATGCGAGTGGTCTTCGGCATCCTGGTGCGACTTGTTCTTCCACTGGCCAACGGGGTGGCCCGGGGCATCAAGGGAATTCGCGATGTGCGCGTGCTGAGGGTTCTCCAGAATCTGGCCTCCAGCCGACAGGCCCTCACCAACCTGGTGGCCTTTGCCGCCAACACTATATCACTGAATCTGTCCTCGGTTCAGGGTGAGTCTCACAGCTTATTAATACAAAAAGTGTGTCAAAGTTCGGTGGACTAAACAGAAATTTTACTTGATATGTGGCCTTTGTTGCTAGGTATTTATATTCACAGTTTTTCCATACTTTAAATAATAGTTTTTATTTTTACCTCAAATTAATGAAGAAACGATAAATCTAAAGTATCTATTAAAAAACGTATTAATTCATGTATTAAATATATATATTATTTTTAAATTAAATATAATGATACTAGAAATATGGTCATAATTTGTCCATCTTTTAAAAAATATTAATTTAATATTTAATATTATTTACATCAAATACAATTTTAAAACGTCAAAAAAATAAGTTTTTAAAAAACAACTCATTAAATTTTGAAATTTATTCAAATATATTGCATAAATAACACTGATTAAAAATCAAAGATAAGAAATTTCAAAAAATTCTATTTTTATGACTAAGCCTCAAACTTTAAAAATATTTCTTTACTATAATTTCCAATTAAATATTTCTAATTAAATCCCTATTTCTCCCCCTTAGTATCCAATCGCATGGGGCCCCTACTGAAGCTCCTGAAGATGCGCAAATCGCAGGATGGCCTCGAGAGTCTTCCCGACACCCTGAGTGCCCCCTCCACGCCCTGCACGCCCTGCCCCACGACCAGCAATCCGATGCAGGGTCCGCCCTTCTACAGCGTTCGCTCGGATGCGCCCAGCTGTTGTACGATCAACATCCTGGCCGAACCGCCACCGGGTCAGCCGATCCGAGCAGATATAGTGCTGATCCATGGTCTGCATGGATCCCTGGTGAATACGTGGAAGCAGGGACTGTGGCAGAACGACCGCCAGCCGGTGGAATTCGAGAGGCCACCACGTCCTCCGGTGCGTCCGCCCAAGCGACCTCGTCACTCCCGCAGTGCGGCCATTCATCCGGCTCCGCGGGAGAAGAGGGCCAAGTTTGCTTCCCTGAACCGCTGTGTGGACACTCCGGATGATGCTCCACTGCGGCAGAGGACGCGACTGCAGAGATCCATGGCCATGAGGCCGGAGAACTTCCAGTTCAATGCTTCCGACAGCGATGACAGCGAGTAGGTTATATAGTAGGGGATATATTTATAAAATCTCTATTAATGATTTCCTGAATTCTCAGTTATGCGTATGTCTGCGGGGAGCCGGAAGACATCCAGATCTGCGAGGGAATCGAGTATAGTTTCCCCACTTTTCGGCTGAGGATGCAGGACAACAGCAGGTTGCTACAGGCTGAGCTGGAGTCCATGCTGCAGGCTAATAATGAGGAGCCACTTAACGCTGGGAAGGATAACCGCCCGCGTCCCGCCTCACCGGCCACGCCCCGCAAATCCTCGAGGAAGAGCAAGCCATCGCCCAACGATCCCAATTACTCCAAGTGTTGGCCCGGCGACTGGCTGCCCTTGGATTGTCCGGGGGTGCGGGTCATAGCCCTCAACTACACAACCGACCAGTACCTCTGGCGACCGTTGTGGAAGAGCAAGGAGCCCAGGTCCAGTCTGATCCAACGCTCGCGGGAAATGGCCGAGCTGCTCATCCAGCATCGCGTGGGTCATGGCCATCCCATCATCTATGTGGGCCACTCGAAGGGCGGTCTGTTTATCAAGCAACTGATGGTGGATGCCTGGGAAAGTGGTCGACCTGCGATGACCCCGCTCTGGAGATCCGCCCGCGGTTGCTTCTTCTACTCGGTGCCACATCGGGGATCCCACTTGGCCAGCATCAAGGCGCCGCTGCTCTCGCGATCTGTAGAGCTACTTGAGATTGAGAAAAGTGAGTGCTTATGGAGTATCTTAACTTATCAGTTATAATAATGCGATAATATCTCCCCGCAGACAACAAGTACCTGCTGGATCTGCATAGGAGATTCGCGGGACTATATCATCTGGGTCACTTAAAGATCGAGGTGTTTAGCTTTGTGGAAACCGCCCTGACGCTCATGTCAGTGCTCTATCTACGCATCGTGGGTGTGGACTCAGCTGGTTAGTATTTATTATAGCTAGGCCTATAGGGATTATCATTGTTTACTAATCGAAAAAAAATAATGATAATGAAATCAGTTTCTTCAAAACACTTTTTCTTATCTCTGAATAAGGCAGAGATAACAAAATCACATTCTCAAAATCCCATTTCATTATCATGCAAAAAGAAATGATAAGGAAAAAAAAGTTATGATAGTTAAAAAGCCTTTTATTAATCTAAATTTAACCATCTATTTCCTTTCTTTAGATCCTGGAATCGGTGACGTCTGCGGCATTCGTCTCGATCATCGAGAGATCTGCAAGCCCCGTGGACGGGATTGTATTTTGTACAAAGAACTGGTGAAAATGATTGAAAAGGTGTGCTGAGCGCAGTCGGCGTAACTGAAAGTACATTATACGTGAAAGTATACTGTATCTAGGACCTGATCTATTTGAAACCGAATTGTGAATAGAACCGACAACTCTGAGGTGTCATGATAATTACGCGTACCTAAATGTGATGCCCCAGCATCCAACTGGGGCATGCTTAATGTTAAAGCGTCGCTTGTTAATTGAATAGTGCATAGCATAGTTGTTTTTCATAAACTTTAATTCGCCTATCCATAGCTCAAGTTAGTTGTACATTGCATTATGTGTTGCCTCTAGTTTAAGCTTAAAGAAAAAAGAGCAGATGAAAATGCTTAAATATGCCATCGGGCGTCAATGATAATTTTGCAATTTTTGTGATCGATTGTGATCATGTTTTTTAGCACTTTGTTGTGATGATCCCTCAAACACCCGTGAATACGTTATTGATATTGTACCATACACATAAAGATATATTTAGAGTTCGCTAGTATACCTACTATAAATTTCGTTATCTGTAAACCGAAAATCTACACCGCTGTAAAATGTTACCAACGAAGACAAAATTTATGCATATATGAATTTCCAGAAATTTAACCAATCGATGTTTTATACCTAGTTGATAAGAATTGAATTACTAAAAATAAAAATAATTTTATTTTATAAAATAGTTGGACAACCTATTATTGGTTAAATAAACCGGCTTATAAAACCAATAAAAATCCAAGTAAATGAAACACGTTTCTATATCTTTTCCATCATAACTTATTTGTAGTATATTTTTCCAATAGTTAAGGTTGCATTCATTTCTTCTTTGCCATATCTTCTCTATTCTCTAAACAAACACCGAGCTTTCTTACATTTCTCTCTTTTCTTAGACTCTTTAGCCGTGCCAATTTTGTTCGTTCTTTTCTTTTTTTGGCCTGGTTGGTTGGTAGTTGCCAATTTTACTTGCATCGAAATCTTTAACACGAATCCTTGGCAGCTTAGTTGCTTCAAATAATTAATTTCGACTGCATGTACAATGCATATAAATTGCATAAAAAATACATTAGTTTTCGTTTCGTTTGTTTTCAGTTTGGGGATAGTTGGAATATGCCGCTCTGAAGTGGAAAACGAAGAAACCAAGCCTAAATGTGTTTACAAAAATTTAGTTGTTTGCCACTCTACTAATGAGGTATACAAAATGTGGACTTAAATGCAAACTAAAGTTACTAATACAAAAATACAAATAAAAATACACCTACGCATAGTTAATTTTACGTTTTAAATGCGTAGACCTAGTAGAGATTGTGCTTTTAGGAGCAGCCGTTTCGTTTCGCCAAAGATAAGAACATAATAATTGTTTGCTTACAATTTTAGTGGACTCTTAGTTATTGAGTGGTTTCCGTTGGCCAAAAACCGTTGCAAAAGTCGCAATACGCGTTTCTATCTTCTGTCTTCCGTCTTCCTAATATTTAATTTCTTTATCTCTTTATTGTTTTTGCGCTTAAATAATTTAAACATTTATCACATCCACTTACACGGCGATCACAATCGCAGCTATTTACTTAATTTCTCGTCCTTCCTGTCGATTTTGTTTTCCTTTCTTTTCCAAACACGTACATTCATATGGATTTCTTACGCCTAATTATATAACTTTAGTACATAAATTTTCTTTTTGCCTTTTTTCTGCATATATAATAGTTTTAGTTAATTTTTGTTTTCTTAATTTTCGTAACGTTTAAAATTGATTTTCCTTCTATTTGTGTTTTCTTTTTTTCGTTTTTCTTAGGAATTTTGAGTTGTTCTTTCGGAATATATTTGTTGTGTGTATTTAAATGCTTGTCGTAGGTTAAAGTTCATTTTGTGGCATGGCTCTGTGCGTTTTTTGCATGCGCACACATTTGTTTTGTAAATTGTATAATTATTAGGCCATACAAATCGATAATAACTCCTTTCGGAAGTGCAAAGTCTGCGGCTTTCTGTTCAGCTTGGAGACAAATCAGAGATTGTTCATTCACGGATGGTATGGTTATGGTCTAAGTTGGGATGGAAATTCGCAACTAGCTGGGTTCGATTCGAGTCGTCTACTTTGAACGTGTTGCTTCTGCTTGAGTGGAAAGGTACTATTGTTTATAGTTGTTGGTTTGTTCTGCCTCAGGGATCTTAAAGGTTACCTTTTGCTATTTAATTATTTGTTGGTATTGCACTTAGACTCTAAATACGTATACAGTTACAGTTACACATTTCTCGTTTTCCGTTTTTCATTTTTCATTTTCCATTTCACATTGAATACCTATATATTGTATATATATATTTTCGTATTTGTTTTACACTCGTTTTAAAACGTATCTCCAATTGGTGTCATATGTGTCTGTGTGTCTTTAGTGTATCTGTGACTTGTATACGCCTGTGGAATGTATCTTCTATAGTTAGGTTTTCATGGGAGTGGGGGTGTATGGTTGTATTTCTGCTTCTGAATCTCGTAACAATTTTCGCATCTCGTTTCACACTGAACAACAATTCACAAACTACATCTGCATACTTGACAAATACTCGTTGTGTTTTATTGTGGACATCTCTACTTCAACTTTCCCTATTCCTATCAAAAATAATATCAGTGGAAAGGAGCAGGAGCTCTCGGCTATGTGTGTGTATTTTCGATTTTCGTTTGGCGTAGCTATATGTCGAGGTACGGTTGCTGAATTTAATATATGTTACAAATACGATGGATTTTGTGGCTTATTATAGAGTTATGCAATATGAATGGTGGTGTGCACAAATTGGAATTGTTTCTTGTTTTTGTTGGTTTCAGAGGGGGTGAAAAGTGTGAGAGCGTCGAGAGGACAAAAACAAGAATGCAAAATGAATATAATCAGGTACATTTGATATATCGGTTGTGTAAACAAAACAAAATGCAGCAGTAAATATGCGGAAATTAAACATTAAACATTTCGCTTAAAAAAGGCCTACAAATATAAATAAAATAAAATTACAAATATTATTGAATAGATTACGTTTTAAATCGGAATCGATGTGAACACTTGTGACTATTGTGGTTTAATGGTATTTAAGTGGTTTGGGTGGTTGAGTGTGTGGGCTATTGCAGTGTTTGTGGTTTTTTGGCCGTTCTGTTTGCGTATATTTATACTATATGTGAGTGTAATTGAATTTTTTGCGGCAATTACGGAGCAATTGTTAAACGTAGTAATTATCAGCGACAAATATTGTAATGCATACTTGCGGGTGGCGCGGTCTATTGCTATGTGCGTGTGTTTTGCCATCGAAAGCAACAATAAATTATATGTTTTAATATGTAAGAGAAGTTACAAGTAAAAATTAGCCTCAATTAACGGAAAATAAAACAAACAAAGCCTAAAAACAAATACAAAAGTATGCTAAAAATGTTGAAACGCGACAAAACTAGGCATATGTATATATATAGCATACAACTTAGCGTATACGAGTGTGTGTGTATAAATATCAGCTTAATTAATCATTTCTCCCATAGTTCCATAGTTTCAGTTACTAAATATTTACATTTATAAAATGTACTCTTTATAAATGCTAAATGGTGATCCTCCAATCTCTCCCTCTCCATCCTCCATATCAATATTCTTTTGGAATGTTTCGAGCTGTGAATGTGGTTTCATCTCTCCTTTTCTTTTGCTTGCTTCTATGTGGTAGCTTCATTAAAATACTGCTTGCTTCACCCATTGGGATCCACCTGGGCCCGTCGATGGACCACCGTCGCCGCTGGCCAAGATTGCTTGACCGCCGGCGAGTGGCTAACTTGAACGGACGCTTGTGCTTGAGCTGGCTGTCCGTTGGCAGGAACTTTGGATGCATTGGTGTGGCTGAACGAGATCGGAGTGCCGTTGCCTCGCGGCTGGCGCTCCTTGGCAGTGGCTGACTTCTGGCTGCTATTGTTATTATTCGATTTGGCCACATCGGCGGGCAGTTTGAAACCATTGGTGAGGCACACGGCCGCATATTCCCGCTCCGAAGTGGGCGTCAAGGTGGCCGCCGCCTCCTCCTCGGCCAGCAGGCAAATCCCGTCGTTGGAATTCGAGTGGCGCACAAAATTGGTGTGAAACTGCTTTTTACTGCTGCCATTGCTGCTGCTGCTGGCACTGCTGCTGCTCAGGCTTCCGCTTCTCCGGCTGGAGGAGCCACCACCGCCTCCTCCTCCGCCTGCCACTCCCAATCCCGGCATGGTGGTGACCAAGGGCAGCGAGTTGGGCGGCACAATCACCTCCAGCTCGGACTGTTTGGAGCTGCTCAAGGCCACCGCATTGGGCGGCGTGTGTCTGTAGGGTATGTAGAATGCCTTTGCCTCCTGCAACATGGCATCCTGCACGGTCTTTCGCTCCGGTGACCCGGATCCTCCTCCTCCTCCGCCGCCGCCGCACAAAGGCAACTGCGATAGGTTGTGGACTCCCAAATCCCCTTGGACTGCTGCTCCATCCAAATCCGATCGCCTCGCCACCTGGACACTTCCATTGCCGTTGGCCAGATGGACAACAGCCACGGCCGCCGAGCTCGTCTGGTATTCCAACGTGTGCTCCGGCAGCAATTCAATGTGGTAACGCGAACGGGGGATAAGTGTTTGCATCTCGTGGCAATCCTGCTGCAATGTGCCGCCACTCAGACCGCCGGCACTATCGCCCGGCATACCGGAGGCACTGCTCAGATTACCGAAATTAATGTCAGTGGGCGTGGTCAGGTGGGTGGGTCCTTGGGCGCGAGCCTTAAAGTTGCGCTGCTGGAATATGATGAACAGCCCGAAGAGGAAAACGCAGGCGATGGACAGCAGGGAGCCGATGGCAATGCCGCTGTAAACCTCCGAGTGCGACGATCCCCTGTCCTCCTCCAGCCAAGTGTGATTGTTGTTTATCATGTCGAAGTAGATGGGAGCTCCGGCGCCAGTATCACCCATCACGCGGACTGCCACATGGATTTTGGCGGTCTCCGAGACATTTGGGAACTGGAAAAATAATATAAAATAAATACATAATATAAATATGTTTAAAAAAAACTTTTAAATAGGTGTCTAAAAGTATGCAGTGATTAAGGATAAAATTCTTTGAATTTTTGATTTAAAAAATATTATTGCATACTTTTAGACACCTATTCTGAGATTTTAGGGAGATTTCAGAGGTTTAGTGATTTCCTGGGTTTTCTATAATCATATTTACCTTGTAGGAGCAGACTGTGCACGCATTTACAATAGCTTCACGGGTGACATTGTCTAAGGACCACCGGATATCATAGTGATGCACACGACCATTTGGTTTTTCGGGTGGCTCCCACATCAGTTTCAATCCATTCTGTTTAACCAGTTTCGGATTTTTAATGGTGCCAGGAGCTTAAAATTAAAAAAATATTTAAATTTTTGAAAGGAAATTTAGAAACGATTCGATAACTTACGATCCTGTTCGGTCTTGACGTCTATCTCGCCATAGAAAATGTTCGTTTTGCAGTTGGAGAAATGCAGATTGTATCGAACATCGGCACTGAGTTTCGTGACCAAGAGGATGGAGTTGGATATGTTGCGTTCCTCACACTTTGGCGGCTTGCTGGTGGCTGCTTGCACCTCCGTGTGGCACTCCAGCACACAGGTTTCGTTCAGGCTGTCCAGAAACTTGAAGGTCAGAGCCCGCGATTCAATGGTGACCAGGCGAAAGGGCATGTTCGCCTGCTCCGAGGTGCCATTCTCAATCTGAAAGAAGGAACAAATTCAAGGCACATTACAGAACGATTTTACGAATGACCAAGGAGAGATAAAAACATAATCGCCCTACAGTACAGTCTACTCACAATCTTCCACTGGACGTAGCGAAAGTCCTGACCCAGGAACTCATTCTCGCTGGTGATGATCAGCACTCGCATCTTGATGCTCGTGAATCGCTGCAGCAGCATTCCCGTCACACTGGCATCCACTACCAAGTTGAAAATATCCTCCTCCAGCTCCAGAGTCATGTCCTCCACCACATTGTCCTCGTGCTCGACATTCTTCAGTACATTCTTCGCTGCCGTTTCATTTAGGGGTTGGATTACCTTGAGATGGCGTCGCACCTCGTCGGCTTTTTCCTCCACTGAAGTCTGGGTGCCGAATAGAGTTCCGTCCAACAACTGCGAGGGATGCGGATGGGTGTGATTGATGGAGAACTGCAGGATGAAGTACTTCTTGTTGGCCAATTCACCCTGCGACCACTTCACAAAGGTGTCGTTGCCCACGGCGATGGGTCGGAGCATTACTACAAAAGGGAAATATCATTAATTTAGATTTTTTAGAAATCTCTAGGGATTTTACAAAAATTTAAGAGGCCTGAAATACAATGTATAAACAGCAAAATGCTTATTATTATTTTCTACAGCATAGTTTTAGGAACTTTTAAAAACGGTATCAAACCTCTAGAGTTTTCACACTTTTAGAAATATTCCGTTTTTTTAATGCTTTTCTTAAATGAAATTTTAAATGTTAAATTGTATGACACTTGCGATTTATTAATTTCTTTAGCATAGTTTTAGGAACTTTTAAAAATGTTTTTAAACCTCCGGATTTTATAAACTTCTACAAATATTTAGTTTTTTACAGCATACTTTTAGGAGCTTTTTAAAATGATATCAAACCTCTACAAATTTTTAATGTTATGACATTTTCGTATACTCACATCCCTGAGTGCAGCAGATAACCGGTGCACTTCTTAACGAGCTGAGAATCATCTGCTGGTTGACCAAAGCCCCCGTTTTCACCTCCGTGGTGGCAAATAAAGCCCGGGTGATCAGAGCAAAGGGTTCGTAGACCGGCAAGTTAGTGGATATCACCACGTAGGAGGTCTGATTCAGCTTCATGGGCCCAAACGAGTCCCAGGTGTGCGGATTACTCTTCACAATGTAGACGACAAACATCGAGGTCAGGCTGCGGCTATCGAACGTAATGTTGATCGTGTGGAAGCTGTGCGGATAGCAGCGGATATTCTGCAGCGGGTTGATCTCCTCCAGCTGTCGATTGAAGCGCAGCTCGCCCGTCGCCGAATCCTCACCAGCCACATTCCTGGCCACACACTGGTAGATGCCCTCCTCCTTGGAGTCGAACGAATGGACATGCAGCTCATTGCCGCTAATGTAGCGTGTGTAGGAGCTATTCAGTTGGACGCCATTGTGATACCAGGTGATGCTCGGCTCAGGATGACCCTCCGCCCCGCAGGTGAGTGTCCGCGAGAGACCGATGTACACCACCTCGACGGGCAGGCGACTCACAATCCTCGGCGGTGTGGTCACAATCACTTGGAAGCTTTGCGTTTCCAGCGGGGTTCTGCAACTGTAGCGACCCTCATGGCGGCTAGAACTCGCGTTTGTGATGGAATAGGCCACACTATTGTTGCTCAGCCGGAGCATTTTGTTGTTCGGGGCATGCAGATACCACTCAATGGGCACAAAGTCGGCCACCGCATGGCATTGCAGCAACAGGGATCCGCCGGCGGGCACATAAACGGTGGCATTCTGAAACGCCGGCAGTAGTTGGGCCTCCGAAACGGCCGTCTCCGTCGGAATTCCCGCCTCGTTTTTTTGCGTATAATACGGTGCCGCATCCTTGGCCTCATCCACTCGCAACTGCCAAATGAACTGGCGGTGCGTCTTGCTGGCAAATGTGTTCTGGGCCACGCATCTGCAAAGAGGGAATAGAGTATAATGGTCAGTGGTCTCGTCTCACTCGCGCGATAATTGACATGGACAATGGCCACAATTACAGCCACCAGTCGGCCGCCGCTAAGTGTTAATTAATGCATTGTTTAAGGGCAGGCCGGCGGTGGTGGTGCGTGTGTACTATAAGCCATATACCATGGGCCGAGTGCCTAGTGCCACGGGAGTGGGCATCTTCTGATATAGTGCCGCAAAAGGTGTTGATTTTGCCACAACGGCAAAGGTGGAGAGAGAGCTCAGCGGCAGCAGCCAAATGGAAAATTGCCTTCGGTCTTAATTTAGTTAAACTGGGCAGATCGACGAGGCACTATTACAGTGTGTAAAGCGGCATTCTACTACTTAGCAATTATCTTTAAAGGCCTTTTAGAAAAAAACCCTATTTTTAACATGCTGATTTTTAATCCGATAAATATAGGGTTCATTTGCAGGACTTGTAAGGCATTATTTATAATCAAAATTTATCCGTAGATATATTTCATAAATTTCCTTTGCTCATTTAATGTTTTCTCTTTACTTACTTGTATTTGCCAGCTTGTTCCGGTCGCAAATGACGCAATATCAAAGTACCATTTGACAGGATGAGAGCACTAAAATAATAATAACAATAATTAGGATTTTTCCAAACAAAATAAAAAGGAATGAACTCAAAGTGTGGGTCAACCCATCCAGCTGGCAAGTACTTTAAGTATGTAATATACAACTTAAGGACCGCTGCTCGATGCTTCAACACTGATCTTTACTCGCCTGTTGTCATTGGTCAGGGAATCGTTGCCGAAATACCAGCTAAAACGGGCGGCTGGAACGCTGAGAAAGGGACAGGTCAGCACGAGGGGCTTGTTCTCTATCGCACTGATGTTGGCCGTCTGCTGTTGGCCCGGAAAAAGTCGCTTGAGAACTGGAAAGAAATAGAGAGAATTAGAGAAAATTATATTTTAAATATGAATTTAAATTTTAATATATCTTGAATTATAAAAATAATTAAAATTTAGACAACTTTATTCCAGGAATACCATTTTGTTGTTTCTGTAATGTAGTTGGTACTTTTCTCTACAATTTTTAATTTTAAATTTAGGTGTGGGTGATATTAATATAGTAATATTAAACAGGTCTATACTACTTGATTTAAAATTCTTATTAAGTAATTGAAAGAACAAATAGGTATTTCTGTTTAACTATCTAGTAGGAATTATTAAAATCACGAATAAAAATGGCCTTTTAAAATGCCAAGACAATCTTATTTATTTTTATAGGACTTTCAATTATTTTTGTGGGCATATTTTTAATATTGTTATATTGAGTTTAAGTTTATATGGCCAACTCACCTGGGTACTCGACAGTGATCCTCTCGGATATTACCCCCGACTCATCCCAATCGATCCTGCAGTAGTATTCGCCGCTGGCCCTCTCATTCGTGGGCAATCGCAAGGTACCATTTTCATAGATGAAGAAGTCGTTTTTGCGAAAGGAGGTTTGCCCGACGACCTCGTCATTCCGATACCAACTGCAGTAGACGGGCAGTTTGTCTGCGTTTGCGGGGGAAGAATTATCCAGAATATTAGTACCCCTTTGGGTGTACTTAAAGCTACCAAAAATACTACTCACCCTGATCGTAGTTGTAGGACGTTAGGATGGGTATGCATGGCAAGTAGTACGAGGAGTGGGGCCTGCTGATGGTCAGTCTTGTGATGGCGTGCCTCTGGATCTGCAGAAACGGCAGGAGTGCGGTTGAGTTCTTCGGTTGGGTGACGGCGGCAGCAACTGCAAAAAATAGACAAAAGAGCAAAAACAATTGATTAAGAATCTGTGCTTGGCGCGACGCGGCTAAATTATTGGTTCCAATAATCCTCCGCCCATTGCCCAGACAATAGACAAAAGGCGGGCAAAAAAAACCGGGCCACAAAAAAACACTGAAAATGTTATTTATATTCTAGCTTAATCTATTGGCTGTTATAAATTTCACGCTTTTCACTTAACACCGCCCCCCAATCCGCCCGACCTCCCACAACTGAATCGAGGTTTTTACTGCAATGGCCATAAATACCCAGAGCACACAGAAAAAATCTGAGAAATAGAAACTGCCAAAGAACGGAGCCGTGCTGGGCTCAGGGTTTTTGCAGTGCACTTTGATAAAAATCAATGATATAAATCATTAGGTTTGAGATAAAACCTTTTCAGAAATGATAAGTTTTTTAAGAATTTAAATCCTAATTTAAGGGAGCTTAGAGCTAAGTAAATTCTTAGAAAGAATCTATATCTATATTCCTCAAAAATTTTAAGAAAAATCATAAACTAAAATGGATATAGTTTTATTTATGAAAGTTTTTTTTAATCTTAAAATATTTCTTAGAGCTGTTTAAATGGTAATTCGACTCACAACACACACACACACAGTTTTTTCAGTGTGATTTTGGGTAATGGTTCAGAATCTGATTCTGGGTAAGTCCCTGGCTCCGGTTCTCGGTGTGGGTCTGGTTATGGTGGGCATGGCTATGGGTAGACGCAGAGCCCAAGCCCAGAGTCCGAGTCGGAGTCTCCGCTACGTGCTGCAGGCGTGTCCAGGCAGACTTGGCGTGTTAATTAATTTTTCTTCTGCTGCTCTGTTCTGCTGTTGACGCGACCATGGCGACGTCGTCGTCGTCGTTTTTCGTCTGCACTCTGGTATGGCAAATGCAGCGGACGAACGGTGCGTATACGTGATATTAAGCAGTTGAAACAATTACATGGCCAGCGGGCAGCAGCAGCAGCAGTGCTAGATTTGCATACGACTTTGTCGAAAGTCGTCCATCAGGCATCACATTATCTATTAGCAGAACGAGCTGTCCGTCCAGGGAACCGTTTCCAGGGAAGTGGAAATGATATTGGGCAATGCCAGGTTGCGTACTATAGTACTTGCCGGGTGAAAAATGACCAAATGCGGCAGTGAAAGAGATCCCCCCTCTAACAAATGTCGGGACATTAGTCAAATGCGGTGAAATTTATGCTAAAAATGCAATCAACTTGCGTTCCGCTCGACGGACGTCCTCAAGCCCCCCGAAAACCCCCAGTAGCAAAAATATAGGAAAAAGAACCCCAACCACAACCATGCAGCTCCAATCAGCCTGCCACCCAAGTGGCCAAGTGCACTCGGTTGTTGCCGAATGCTGAATGTGCTGACTGCTCGTTAGTCAGTCACAAATTGTGGCAGTGGCAAGTCGGTTCGTTCTTTTGCTTTTCGCTAGCTGCGCTCGGAAACTGAATATTTGTTTCGGTTTTGATAAATGGACTCCTATAAATTAGATAATTGCTGAACATGCTGCGAGGGATGTATCTTAAAGCTCTTTGGCTGCCTCTCTGGACTTCGCCGCCTCTCTGGAATTTTGCCCCGCTTATGTTGCATGTTTGTACGCAATGTGTTGCAATTTTTATTGCAGTAATTACACGCAATGCCCCGGCGGCAATTTGACGCATGGAAATGCCTTCGACGGCCACGTCAGCAATGGAGCTACTGCGTCCCGCTAAGTGCGGCACATTTACAAACACAAAACATCACTGAAGGGGCGAGAGGCAGCAGGAAGATCGGACCAAGGGGAAACCACGGGAGCACTGAAAAAAATCCTTTTAAAATAATATAAAATAAAAATTAAAAATTCGAAAAAAGTTTACGATTGTCGCGAAATAGATAAATTTCAAAAGAGCCCTTCAATTACATTTAAATTATAATATTTTATTAATATTTTTTTGTCCCATTTAATTTTAAAGATATATTCCATTTGGTATAAATACAAACTAATTTTGTACATTTAGTTTAATTAAACAAGACTGTTAAGAATTTAATTGAAAATTCAAAATCAAATTTAATAAATTTTTAAAGTCAAATTTTAAGTTCTTCATAGATAATGTGTATTGAATTTTTTGAATTTTAATAATAATCTCTGAGTGGCCTAAAAAAATTTGAGTAAATTTATACGATATTAAAACAAAACTTACAATTTTTATGGCGAATTTTTTAAAAATAAAAAGAAATGTCTAATATTTTTCCCAGTGCAATTGCAGTAGCAGTTGCATGTGCAACCAGGGCGTAATTGTTATAGCGTAATTGTTTCAATGGCGGGGCGTTTAATTGCGCTTTGGCAACTACTCCGCCGCTAACGACGCTCGGTTTTCGAGAGTCAAAGTTCAGCGATTTTTTTGTCATCCCAGTGTGCACACCTTGCCCGTGGTGCAATTTGCCATTTGTCATCGCCTGTTGGGGGGTTGTAGGGTTGCAGGGTTGCTGGTTTGGAGAGGGACATGTCAGCAGCAGCATTACCCTTAAACTCCTGTGCTCCGTGGCTCGTGTGCTCCGGAGTCGTTAGCGGAATCGTTAAACTTGCAGATTAATTGCTTCGCCGCTCGACGAGTCAATGCTCGCATGGAACCATCCATTTAATGCGCTTGACATTCACTTCCAATTGAAACTATTCCACAGCTTTCTAAAAACCACTCGGCCAGGGGGCTATCAATTGTGTTAGATCGCTTCACAGACTTCTGGAGACCATCGTCATCATCATCGTCGTCATCATCGCTGGCCATAACTCAACGCAGCTGCAAACAAGATCGGCAATCTCGGTGATTGAACTGTCATGACATTCAGCTTTCGTCCAGACAACACGTTATCCACTATCCTCTCAGATCTCCATGGCCCGTTCTCCAATTTCTTCTATAAACCATGTAACCCTATATAATTTCAGCTCATTTGTATTAAAATCTGTCGTAGTCAAAGCAATGCATAAGTCTTCCCAGTCAACTCAGCGCTGAGGAATGCTTCCCAGAATCGTGCTTGAATGCTGTTTGACAAGTATATATACGTATGGTATATACTCCCATCTGCACTTACTAAGTTGTAGCAAGTTGCGAGTCAATAGTGTGGGGGGCAGATTGCAGCAGAGATGGCTTCTCTGGGTTCCCTGGGTTCCTGGGGAGTGCGAGAAGAAGGAGAAGGCGGGCAACTGGGCGCTGCTGCACAAATTTGCATAGTTGAACGCACGTCACCGCACAATGGGAGTTTCACCGATCTATGGTGGAAAAAATCGCTCGATCCTCAGTAAATTTATTGTAACTAATTTTAAATATTAAATATTTTAATAAAATCAAAAGCATTTAAAATGTTTTTCTCACGTTTCCTGTTTTTTTAAATTATTTATTTTATAATTTAACTAATTAAAATTTTATAAAACTTCTAGTTTTGAGATTTATTTGTATTTTATTTTATTTGAAGGTTTATTTGTACTTTATTTTATTTAAAGGTTGTGTATTATTTCCTTATATTATTTAGGAAGCAAACATTTATTTAGTGAATTTAAATTTGACCGTTTTTCCATTACCTTTAATTTTACGATCAATTCAATAATAAATTTTGGAAATAATTGAAAAATTTAATAATTAAAATAAAATTCTGGAAAAACATTAAAATAAATTCCCAAGAATAATCGCCGATAAAGTTTTGCAGTTATTGCTTTTTAACGAGGTTAAACTGATTGAATCTCCCACAGTGCGCCTTCGCTGCGGTGCATTCCAAGCAGCAACTGTTGCTGCCGCTGCTGCAGTCGATGATGAATGCAACTGCAACTGCAATTGCTGCCGCTGCAGCAGCGGCACATAAATTGCCGGCTGCTGCGCCGAGCTTATCAAAACGGCAACATCTTGTGCATAGATAAGCCGGCCGGCCTGCCTGCCTGGCATCGCATCGGCCACCTCGGCCTCCAACTATATGGCATCCGACTAACGGGTCTGGGCCCCCATGGAATTTCGCAAATTCAAATTGCCTGGCATCCTTTAATGCCTCTGCTGCCGCTGCTGCTGCTGGCACAGCTGCAACGTTGGCACACTTTTACCGCTCCAAATCCAAAGGCAGCGGCAACATTTTATGCAAAATGCAACGCGCACGAGATAATTTATCGCCTAATGACGTGCTCTTCTAAGGTTGCCCGCGTTGTTGTAAAATGCAATAATAAAATGTGCCTGCAGCAGGAAGATGCAAAGTATGGGGAGAAAAAAAACAAAAACCGTCATACTAAAAAAGAAAGAAAATTAAAAATGAAATTTAAATGCCGCACGAGCGAGCAGCATCAGCTGAGAGGCAATGGAACGGGTTGCCAACTATCTGTGCACCAGGAGATCCCTGCCCCTCACTAAATTGGCATACACAGGAAAAAATAAAGTTTACTTAAAATTAAAAAAAAATGTTTAAGATATACTTATTTAAAGAACATCTTTATTATGATAAAATCATAATCGCTGTATTTAGTTAAAGCCCTATAAGAAAGAATAGAATCTCTAAAAAAAATAAGCGAAAATGAGAATAATACATTTATTCTGAATACTTTAGGCACCCTTTCGATCTTAATACCAAGCTTTAAAATGTTTTTCATTTTCTTCCAATAAATATTTAAAGGAATATATTATTTTGTGGTCGGTGTTTAAAAATGTAACTGGCTAAAGGAAGCCAAACCACATTTTAGAATTTTGATGGAAAAGTATGATAAAAGTCAAGTATTTTATCTTGGTTAACAAATTAGTTTGAATATTTTCTCATATTTTGAACATTTCAATTACCTTCTATTTGAGTTAGTTTCCGTGATTTTTCGTAAATTCTTTTCTGTGTCTAGAGAGCATTCCTTGGGCTCCGGTCTGCTGTCGCTTTGGGGGCGCTCAACGAGAATTTATGAATGTGCAAATGCATACGACAATTTCGCGCATAAATGTAAGCTCCTGCCATGCCGGCAGTAGGGTGAAAGTAT